GCTGCCACCAGTCACCAGGCTTGCGGTATGAAGCGTTGGTGCTTGCTCCTCCTTGCTGGCTAGGTCGGATTCGTCAGCTGAGAGTGTGAGGTCCTCGTCTGGCCAGTGATCTGATGTGGTACGTAACCAGTCCGGACCGTGCCACCATGACTCCTGAAGATCGGCCACCAAACCGCCTCGGCTAGCGACATCAGCAGGGTTGCACTCTCCAGGAACTTGGCGGAAGGACAAGAACTCGCCGCAAGTACGAATCTCTGACACACGGTTGGCCACGAATACGGACAGTGGCTTGGATGATTTGATCCAATGCAGAACACAACGCGCGTCCGTCCATAGGGTGATGCTGGTAAGTGGGAGATCGAGTTCATCTTTGCAGAATCGGGCTGCCCGTGAACCAATCGTCACGCCAAGTAGTTCCAGCCGTGGCAGGGTGAGACCGTTAGGCTTGCCGTCCTTGGACTTCAGCGGTGCAAGACGTGTCTTGCCGAAGAGGAGCTCACAGGTTGTCATCATGGCTATGGTTGTGCGGAGGTAGACCACAGTTGCAAAGCCCAGTTGTGACGCATCGGTGAAGACGTGTAGCTGGTAGGTAGCATCGGTTCCATTAGCAATTGGGTTGATTTGCCTGGGGAACGATAACGAGCTGACCTCGCTCGAGGCTGCATGGAGGGTCAGCCAGGTGTCCAGTAGGTGTCCAGTCAAGACAGTGTCCCAGTCCATACCAGCTTGCCACAGAGAGCGTAAGAAGACCTTGATACGAAATGTGACCGGAGCAACCAGTCCCAATGGATCGTACAATGATGCAGCATACTTCAGGACAGCGCGCTTAGTCCAAACCGGGTCGGTGCTGGGTTGGGTTCGAGGACAAGCGAGCTGTAGACTGTCATCCTTGGTGTGCCACGTGATTCCAAGAACGTTGACACTGTCGCCCTGTGCCCTTTCCTTGGCATCCATAGCTGTCGTAGCGTGGCTGTTGTTAGATGCCCACTCACGTAGCCGCATGGACGAGCGAGAGAATACGGATGTAGTTCGGTTGCACATATCGTACCCTTCTTCCGGGGTGTCGACACCGATGAATACGTTATCCACGTAGATATTGCGGGACACCAAGCGACCGACATCCGCATCTTCATCATTTGCTAGATGGTGTTGGATTGTTGCCGCTAGCAGAAATGGACTGCTCACGATGCCGAACGGTACTCTCCGAAACCGATAGACCGCGATGTTGTCCGGAGTTGCTGTGGGATTAGTTGGATCGCGATACCATAGGAAGCGTGTCACGTCCCGGTCTGGCGGCCAGATGTCAAGTTGCAAGAATGCCTTCTCGATATCGGCTACCAGCAGAATGGGTGTGATGCGGAGTCGCATAAGAACTCCGGCAAGGTTGGGGAGCAACACGGGTCCACGTAGCAGACAGTTGTTCAAGCTCTTGTTGTGACGCCGTGCCTTGGCCGAGGCATCATAAACGACACGCAACTTGGTCGTCGTCTTCGTTGGAGTTAGAACTGGCTGGTGGGGTAGATAATGGAGTTGCGGACCAGTGACAGAATCCGGTGTCATCTGCTCAATGATGCCCATGTCGGCTTGCTGCTGGATCACCTTGTCATACTGCTCAAGTAGTGACGAGTCGGTGCTTAGCCGCCGCGATAGAGTCCGGAACCGGCCCAACGTCAATCCGTAGTTGTCCGGGAGAAACTGCTGCTGGCCGTTCCATGGCCAGCGAACGATGTAGCGATTATCGGTGCACTCCACTGTTGAGTGGAAATGTTGTAAGGCTACGTCATCGTCTTTCACGGGAGACGGGTGCTCTATCCCAAGCGTTTCGAGGCTCCATAAATCCGGAATGGACTGCTTAAGAGGCAGAACCTCCTCGTGTGAAACGTCGGCTGCGGCTGCGATCAGAGTGGTTGCCGGTAGGGCAGTGGTGGGAGAGGTGTCCGTCTTGCCGGTGACCACGTAGCCGAGGGAGGTTGGCAGAAGGTTGAGGCCTGATGGTAGAGGTTGCACATGGCCCTGCACGAAGTCCCACAGATAATCAGACCCAATGAGTATGTCGATCTTTAGCCGTTCATCTTCGGCGTTAATCGCATCAGCTAACTGGTTGTCGTGTTGCAGTTGCTGCAAGGTCGTGATGTCGGGGTGTGCAACCGCAGGACGGAGAACCGGGTTTGTGATGTGCGGTAAGACGCTGCCTTCGATGGCCTTCGTTGTACCATCCTTGAGATGAATGAACAGGTCGGAGATCGGTACCTGTGCTGTGTGGTGTTTGGTGGCACCAAAGGTTGACACGGACAGCCATTCATGGCGAGTATGGCGCAGGGAGAGCTGCCTTGCCAAAGCCTCCGTGAAGTACGTGCGATGGCTACCTGAATCAAGAAGAACGCGAGCGGTGGTGATTGTACCATTGTTGCCTTGCACATTCGTTGTGGCGGTTTGGAGTGTGACAGTTGATCCTGTTGCTTGCAGGAGACACGATGACTGGTCCGAAGCAACTGTCTGGTCCGAAGCAACTGCCTGACCTGGAACCTGAGTGGGTGTGCACGTAGCGGTTGTAGTGTCAGAAGTTGCCACCGCTGCCGTGGAAGATGAACCGTCAGCTCGTCGGGTGGAATGCGAACCTACACCAGATGGCTGGCGACTCTGCGAGCAGATGGTATGGTGATGGTGACTTGGGCGCTTGCACATCCGGCAGGTCTGTGTTTGCCGTCGGTAACATTCCTGGCTGCGGTGACCGGAACCCAAGCAAATAAAGCAACGACGTAGCTCCATTAATCGTTGTTTCCTGGCAGCAGAAGATGTGTAGCGTGAGCAATCGTTGTCCATATGTTGGCCATCGCAGAATATGCAACCACGACGGGAACGTTGTGGTCGTCCTTGGGTATCAGGGTGAGCTGCCAGTGCATCCGCTGTGCTAAAGAGTTGCTTTGGCTGCACTCCAACAGCGTCAGGTTTGTTCGGAGGGCCTTGGCCAGTCCGCTGGCGGAGTTGCTCTTGTAGAGTTGTGTACTTGGCCATATACTCTCGTAGAGTGGTTAGTTTCCAGGGCTGGCCGGCGTTGCTGATACCACGCCACTCCTCAAACTTGGTGGCAACCTCGAGTGGAACCTTGCCCCACAGCTTTTGGCACAGGAGACGTTGATCTGCCAACTTCTCTCCCTGTGTTTCCAGCTGTCGAAGGAGACACTCCACAGTTTCGAAACTTCGATGGATCTCCATGGGCCTGTTGGGTGGTGCCGGTAGTGCTTCCAAACGGCTGTACAGGGATGCAATGATGATCTCCGCTGAACCATACTTCGTCTTCAACAGATCCTTGACGGTGGTATAGTTTGCACTTGTCAATGAGATGCCCGCTATGGCCTTCGCCGCATCGCCGGAAAGGCAAGATTTCAGGTATGAGAACTTGCTGACATCCGCAATGGGCTGGTTGTCGATGGAAGACTGGAATCGCTCCCAAAACTCTGGCCACTCAATCACCTTGCCAGAAAAGGACGGTAGAGTCAGCTTTGGCAGCTGGACGTTGAGGCGTGATGGCTGTGGGGCAGTACTGAGGCCAGCTGCCGCGGTTGCAGCGTGGGCTGCCGCTAATGCCATGGCCTGTATCATGTCTGGGGAATTGGTTGGTGTCGGGACAGTTGGCTGGGCCTGTGTTGTATCCGTATGCTGAGCCTGAGCCACAGGGTTCTGAGTAGTAGCACTGATGTCCGTGCCTGTGGACATTGTGCTACGCCTTGCCTCCACACCCGTGCTAGGGCTGTCCAGTCTGCCTGCAGCAGATTCCGTGTCGCCCGTGCCTGTTGCCGGCAATTCCTTTGATTCCAGCAGTTCGCCCGTGGGCCTGTCCGTCCCATCACTGTCTACGACCACTACCTCCTGTGTTGTATCGTGCCGGGTGGCCTTCTGGGGTGTTGCTGCCTCTGCAGCAAGCTCCGTCACCACTGGTGAATGTGTCCCTACCCCTCTATAGTCGAGTAGTGCACGTGCGTCCGACACACTTGTGCATTCGTGGTCAAAGCCATCATCCCAGGCTTCCAAATCAATTAGTGCGTCTTCCACTCGCTCGTCTGCCTCGCAGTTCTCCAGCAGGGTACCAATCTGCTCGGACAGGTCGTTCACTGTGTCAATCAAGGGTAGGATTTTCTCAACATCACTCTGAAGTGACAACAGACTAACGAATTTCTCCTTACGGAGTTCATGTTCGATCCTCCTCCTTACTCGCGTCACCCTTCCCTTGGCCCTGCCTCGCTTCTTGACTAGGTCGTTGTAAACCACTTGGTCCAGGACGTGAGATGTGCTTTGCTTCTCAGTCGTCTGATCCAAGGACTCCTCTCCATCGTTCGTTGTTGTCTGTTCAACCTCTCCGTCCATCGTAAAAAAACGAAAGTTGTTGGACGCGTTGGTTCCAAATCCTGGTCTCTACAGCACCATGTCGAGAACGGTAGGGGAAGACAGACTCATCAGACTCATTCTCATACCACAGTTTCCTTTCTAAAAACTTCACCTTCAACCATAATCCAAACTTGCAAACCACCACCGTATCTGTGTGCGTGCGTGCGTGCATCATGCAAGCGCGGATCATGCGGAATGCAATGATGCAACTACAAGAAAACAAATCTCGGCAGCTAGCAACGAGTGCATTCAGAGAAGAAGCAAACAAGTTCAGATTTAAGTAGTTTGTGATGAGCAGCAGAGACAAACATGCAGGAGAGTATAATTATATGATGAGATGGAGGCGACATTGGGAATACTCGGATTCACAATGTACGCGTGCCATCAGCTGGGTAATCAGAGTCGTCGTTGGACATCGTAAGTAGTCTTCATGATGTGGTGACATTCATGACAGCAGCAGCTACGACGAAGAGACGACACGTGCAGCCACATGTACACACAGAGACACAAATACAGCAGCAGCAGCTACGACGAAGAGATAACACGTGCAGGCGCAGGTACAACACTATCATGCTATCCTGCTATCATGCTATCCTGCTGTCTTTCTACTACAGCAATTAACCTTCATCAAGCATATGGACTTGCTGGGCAATCCATTCAGCTGGGAACACACAGACTATCGATCTTGTGTTCTCCATCACATGCGAAGTTTGTGCTCACTCGACGGTCTGGTAGTGGTAAGTATTGCCGGTATTGCCGGTATTGCCGGTATTGCCGGTATTGCCGGTATTGCCGGTGTTGATGCAATGCTCGGGGGGATTCATGGTGCATGTTGACAGCCTCATCACGTTGGTATGATCAGTCTCATCACGTTGGTATGATCTCTGTCAGTTTACAGTCTTCGTGTTGGACTGAAGGCCTTAGTTTATTATCGCCAATGACTATGTACGGGATTCTGAGGAGTAATGATGCGAAAGGCCTCATCGGATTTACCAGTGGTGTATATGCCATGTGTGCTCCTATGTACCATTGTGCACTGTCTGCTTGGTTTCTGCTAGGACCAATTTGAAACTCAAGCATCCAGAGACAAGTACACTGGAAGGTACCAGTAACATTAGCAACACATGTGTTTAAGCTATACCTGTATTCAACTGAGCAGCCTGCAGGCACAGTGGGTTGGTCTAAGACCGTGATTGAGACACATGAGGTACTGGGGTCTCAAGTCCTGCTTGAAAACAGACACCTAAGTTGCAACCCAGAAAGAAAGTGCCAATGCTGATGAACCTTAGTCATCAGCTGCCCACTACCTATCAGCCTGTTTCGTTAATAAAAACTGCTATTCCCAATAAATCCACAGAGACCTCTAAATATTGCTCACTTAGAACGTTGTCCACAGAATATAACCGTTTCAAACAACCATTTACAAGCCGGCCAACCATTGGTGATAACTGCTACATCCCTAAGTAATTTGAAATGGTCACTTTAAAAGTGATGAGTGTGTTGTCTTTGTACATGTAGTAGTCCAGGGTATATTCTAGGACGAATTTCCAACCGGTTACGGTCCAATGAAGAGTCCGGGGGTCCCCCGCGGAATTTTTTTTCAAAATACAACCCAAATATGGCACTCGACAGCAATTTAACAGATTTCTTGGTGCTGGAGTACAAATTCGTGACCCTAGTACCAGCCCACGCGGCTTCGCTGGAAGTATCCGTCCAGAAAAAAGCGTTTGACCATTCACAGCTCCATTCACCCACAGAAAAGTACGGGCGGTTGGAACTGATTTGTAACTTTTCAACCGGTCGCCAACAATTTCAACCGGTCGAAAACCGGTTGGGGCGGTTCTAGAAAATTCCCTGATGTACGTGTGACACAGGATGTTCGTGTGCAAAGTCAGTACCATGCCTGCCTGCATGCATCACTGCATTACATTCTGTTAAAACCGAGCCCCTGGGTGAAACAGCGGGCTGCAGTTGCTTCTGGATTCTTTCGCGTTTTTCTCGCAGGGTTAACATTGACTTTCTGTCGGAGCGCCTCGGAACAACACAGCTTGGCTCGCTCACACATCTAGATCTGCCATCCTGCTCACTGAAGGCATTAGACGTGGGTAGCGATTCATCTCTCTTCGAGAACGTGAGAAGGTAAGGCAAACCTACATGGAATGTTTAGGGACTAGCAGCTTAGCAGCGTTATCTGTGAAGACTTGCATGTACATGTATGTGGTATGGTAAGCTGTGTGTTGTTACGTTGACAGTTAGTAACAACAAACGAGTCATCCCATGTATGGCTAATGAAGGTTGCTATCAATTGAAAGCCGGCACATCCTAGGCTAATTGTGGCACGGGGACTTCCAACAGAGGCATGTTGTGATGTTGCCTTTAGGTGTGTGTGTGTGTGTGTGTGTGTGTGTGTGTGTGTGTGTGTGTGTGTGTGTGTGTGTGTGTGTGTGTGTGTGTGTGTGTGTGTGCACGTGTGTTTGTGCACATGTGTGTGGACATGCATGTGTACATATATATGTGGTGTGTGTGTGTGTCCGTGTGTATCCGTGTGCATATGTGCAGCCTCAATTTAGAAAACAACAATCTCACGTCGGTGCAGGGAATCGGTGCCTTCAGTCAGCTCAGAGTGAGTGCATTTCACCCAATTTACCAGTCAGCTCAGAGTGAGTGCATTTCACCCACTTTACCTCTCACTGAGGAGGAGAACAGTTACTATATCCCTGACTGAGGAGAATTATACCTCTCACTGATGCAGCATGGGTCCACAGGTTTCTTTCAAAACTTGAACCTTCCTTCTGTATGACCAGAGACCCTTAGAAACCCTGTACTAGATAGTTTGGAGTTGACAGGAGGGCATGCACATCGAAACCACGCCTTGTCAACGACCCCTTCTTGCTCAGTTTTAACGACCACACTCAGCCAAAGAACAAAACAACAACGAAACACAACGACACACCAACGCTGATGTGGCATCGCAAATCCCGTACCGTGCACGCAGGCACTGGGTTGCAACAGAAAAAAGACGCGCTGCAAGCGTGCCAAGCAGCGAGTGAGTACAGAACGCGTACTAATGCCAGTCATGGCAACGGAAGATAAAATTATGGAGATCGACCCGATCGAGAGCAGAGTACGAAAAAAGCACACATTCAAAGTTCAAACTGTGCAACAGAAGCAGAAGAGGAAAACGAAAATGAACACTTGTCGTGAAGTGCTTCTGTCCAAGGGTGCTTGCACCCGACGGGGTGACAGCGCCCCTAGTCAGACAATACAAGGCAAACGAAATAGAAATTAGCTGAGTCACAGCGCGGGACTCCGAAACGAAAACCGGTGAGTATGTAAATATTAATTGTTTCGTACCTGCTGTACAACGTAACAATTCGTAACGTAATTTCAAACTAGCACTCGTAGAATTGTAGTGCGAATGTGCCACTCGATTATAGTAACAACGACAAAGAGATACTCTTCTAAACATTTCTCTCCCTTCTCACTGTGCCGAAATTCACAGTGACCAAAAAATTCGAAATTGATTATTGTTCTGAAATAGGCAAACAAGGAGCTACTCACAGAACAGCTTACAAAGACGCACGATTGGGCGGGTGTAGGTCTTGTCGCCCACCTTGACCTTCACAACTCGCACGTGTCCGTCTGGACCAGGGTGCACTTCGGTGACGCGACCCATTGGCCAAGTGCCCCGTGGGTTGTCTTGGGATGTCACTAGAACGATGTCGTCGACCTTGAGGTCTGTCTCGGCCGTCCTCCACTTGAGTCGCCGGTTCAGCTCTGGCACGACTTCCTGCATCCATCTCCGCCAAAAGTGCAACACGAGTTCTTGCACTACACGCCAGCGTTGCCGAGGGTTGAACTCGCTCTCGTCCACTCCTGCAGGTGCGAACCGAGTACCGATTTGGCCATACATGAAATGATTGGGCGTTAGCGGAGTCGGGTCACGGCCATCTGCCGACACGTAGGACAGTGGCCGTGAGTTCATGAGCGCCTCCGCGCCGACGATAGCAGACAATAGCTCCTCGTCTGTGACCTCCGCGTTCTTCAGAATCGCCGAGATAGCACGCTTTGCCGATTTCACTAACGCCTCATGCACTCCGCCGAAATGTGGTGCTGCTGGAGGGTTGAAACGCCAGCTAGTCTGCTGATCCGCTGTCTGCCGCTGAATCGCCTCTGCATCAAGCTGCTTGACTAGCTGAGCAAGCTCATTGGTGGCGCCGACGAAATTCGTGCCATTGTCGGAGATGACGTCGATCGGTACTCCCCGTCGATTGGTGAAGCGTACGTACGCCTGCAGGAATGAGTCCGTTGTCAACGCGTATGACAGCTCGAGATGCACTGCTCTCGTCTGCAAGCAGGTGAACAAGCACAGGTACCGCTTGTGTTGTGTCTTGCCGCGACCCTGCTTCGTCATAAACGGTCCGGCGTAGTCTACAGAGACTCGGCCGAATGCGCGTAGCGGCAGGCTGACTCGGACCTTAGGTAGTGGCGCCATCACCTGCATTGCCGGCTTCGTACGGTTCCGGGCACACCTCGCACACTTGGCTTCCCAAGCTCGCACCTCTTCGCGGCCAGCGACGATCCAGTAGCGCGACGAGAGTTCGGCTAGCGTATGGCTGACACCGAACGCGTGATATCCTCTTTCGTGACATGCCTTGACAATCAGCTGTGTCACATGATCTCCTCGTGGTAGGACGATCGGATTGCGTTGTTCTGCAGTCAAGAAGTCTGCATGCTGTAGTCGACCTCCGACGCGTAGCAGGCCGGCGTCATCAATCATCGGCTTGAGCGAGACTAGCTTGCTGGTTGCAGGGATCGGCTTGCCTGCCTTAACTGCAGCATACTCTGGTAGCGACTGTTGCTGCGCTCGCTTGATGTAGAACTCCTCAGAGTCTCGGATCGCTTGTGGCGATAATTCATCAAACTCTCGTTGTGCGGGTGGTACTGAGCAATTCGTAGCGAATCGCACACACCAAGCATGAACACGGCACATTCGTACCCAGTCGGAGTAGCGGCTTGGCTCTAGACGATTCAGCTCGCTGTGGCATTGGTCGACGGTCACCGCAGTCAGCTCGATGGACTCGTCCGTCGGTTGATTGTCTTTCTTCAACTCCAGAGTTGACGGACGGGGCTTCAATTCTGGCTGAACAGGCCATTCACTTTCAGCGGCACCCAAGAAGCCGGGACCGTTCCACCATAAACTGCTTCCCGCCAACTCTTGCACTGACATTCCTCGAGAGACCAGGTCGGCTGGATTGAGCGCGGTGGGCACGTACCGCCACTGGGTAGGATTGGTTTGCCGTTGAATCTCGCCCACTCGACTAGCCACAAACTGCTTGAAGGTGCGGCTGTAGTTGGTGATCCAGTGCAGAACGTTGCTGCTGTCCGACCATAGCGTCGTTGCTCGGGGGTCGAGGTTCAGTGACTCGGCGGATGATGTGGCGAGCGTTGCTAGGGTTGTCGCCGCCATTAGCTCAAGCCGCGGAACGCTGACAGCAGTCACTGGTGCCACACGGACCTTGCTTGCGACGAACCGTGCTGTCGGTTCTCCAGTGTCATAGTGACTGACCAGATACGCGACTGCTCCGTATGCGACCTCGGACGCATCTGAGAACACGTGAAGCTGGCTGCTGATTGCTGTGCGTCCCGTGGCCGTCAGGCAGCGTGGTACACGTACTGTTGATAGCTCCGTCACCTGCTCAAGCCAGCCGAGAACCTTCTTGACGATTGCTGGGGGCAGTTGCTCATCCCATGCTGCTCCACAAAGCCACATCTCTTGCAGCAGGACCTTTGCTTGCACGAGGTACGGTGCGAGGAGTCCAAGTGGATCAAACAAACTTGCTGTTGCACTGAGAAATGCGCGCTTCGTAGGATTTGAGCCGATCTCCGACAGCTGCAGCTGGAACGTGAACTGGTCCTCCTTGGCAAGCCAGAGGACTCCCAGTGTCTTGACATTCGGCAGCTCTCCCTTCGTGAGGTTGATCTCCTCAGCGCGATCCTCCTCCGGGATGGTCTGCAACACCACCGTGGAGTTGCTCAGCCATTTTCGCGGGTGCATACTGGCTTTGTGCCACAACGCCGACAGCTGCCTTACGAGCTCAACGCCTTCCTCATCGCTTCGAACAGAGTCCATGGAGTCATCCATGTACGTTGACTCAAGGACCGTTTCCGCTGCACGAGGATAGGTGTCGGCGTGCTGATGAGCATTGTGTCTAGCCGCGTACTGCGCTAGGAAAGGCGACGCGTTCACACCGAAGACCACTCGATTGAACTCGTATGTGGCCGGTTCCTGCTCGTTATCCCGCCAAAGAAAGCGATGGAAGGGCCTGTCCTCCGGAGCCAGGGATATCTGGAGATACATCTCCTGGATGTCGCAGATGATGGCGACCTTGTTCTGCCGGAAGCGCAGGAGTACCTTCGGTAGCGATTGCTGCAGCTTGGGACCAGCACTGATAACATCGTTCAGCGCTACACCATTGCTGATGCCAGCTGCGTCGAAAACCACACGCGTCTTCGTGGTGGCCTTATCTTCACGGATGATGGCGAAGTGTGGAAGGTACCATTCGTTTACAGAACCTCCACACTCGTTGTCAGGCACTCGTCGAATGTACCCGTTGGCTAGGTACTTGCGGATGACATCGCTGTACGCTGTTGCTGCTGCTGAGTCACGTCGCAGCCGCTTCTCCAAGCTGTGCAGACGGCCGAGTGCCTTCGCTCGGCTTTCAGGCATGACTGGACGTTCGGATTTCCAGGGTATGCCAACGCAGTAGCGGCCGTCCGTCACCTTCAACGACGCTGCAACTTTCTGCTCTGCCACCTTGTCGTCGCGCGACATGAATTTCGTAGTGCTGCTGTTCACTTCTTCGATTTCCCACAGGCGCTTCAAGCTGCTCTGTAGGTCACCGTCGCTGAACATTGTGAAGCAGCAGCTCGCCGCTGGGTGTGCTGGTTGTACTTGGCCGATGCAGGTCCAACCTAATGCCGTCCGACGCGCCACGGGCTCATGGCTGTTACCCGAGCGCTCTTCATACGCCATGTGAAGCTCCGGATAGTCGGCACCGATAAGCACGTCAATGTGGCGTTTCGACGGTAGCGGCGGAAACTCAACGTTGGCTAGATGTGCGTACTGCTTTCCCAGGTGGTGCCAGTCTACAACTTCCATGTTGCCTGTTGGCTGCTCGATTGTGCACGCATGGAGAGTCGTCGACGTGGCTCCGTCAACACTTCGCAGAGTGCACGATACTGGGACAGTGTGAATGGTCTCTTGCTGTCCATTCAGCTTGCTGATGGTCAGCGACATACTTGATCCAATCAGGCCGAGTTCTGCCGTAACATTGCTCGCTATGTACGAGCGCGTGCTGGCGTCGTCCAGCAGCGCGTTAACAGTTAGCGACCGCTTGCCGTTGGATAGCTGAACGGGAACTGTCCGAATCGACGTCACTGTCCGTACCCTATTCTCCTCTCCCTTCGTGCTGTTTCCGAGGGAGACAGCACTGAAGTTCTCCGGCTGCATGGCTCCAGTCTCTCCGGAGGCGTGGGTTGACGACGCTGGAGGCGGTTGACGGGGCTCACTGTGCAGCAGGCGATGGTGATGCTGCGTGCACCCGTTGATACCGCACTCCCGGTCCCGTGGGCAGTCCTTGCCGCTGTGCCCAGTCGCAAGGCATCTATAGCATGACTTGCTTCGCTTCGCTGCTGCCCAGCGCTGGCTTACAGTTTGTTTCTCAAACTCTGGGCAGCGCCAGATCGGGTGCTCGCCACCATTGCAGCATTGGCATGTGGACCTTGCGGTCGGCACATTGCCAGCGGTGTTTGTAGCTGTCACGAACGTGGTCGTGCGCGGTTGCACAGCGTCGTGAGCAGTTGCCGTCCGAGTCGGCTGATTTCGACTTGTCCCGCTGGTTGACAATTGGCTCCTGACGTGATGCTGCTGGCTGATGCCTTCGATAGTTTCCGTGGCGGCAGCAAGAACTTCTGCCTCGGCATTCAGCCACTCCAGCAGCACCTCGACCGATTCGTCCTTTTTGTGGTGTACTATCCAGCGGCGATACTGGGCCAACAAGTTCACCGGCAGCTTCTGCTGGATCCGCTGGTAGAGAATGCCGGTACCTAGCTCGGTGTGCATACCGGCATCCTTTAACGTCACCACTGCCATGTCGAGCACATCGGTAAAGCGCTCCAGGTCCTGGGCTCTACCGGATCGAATAGGTGGAGATCGTTCCAGCTCTTCCATCCTAACCGCAAGGCGCCGGCGACTCCCACCGAAGCGTCGCTCCAGCCGCCGCAGAGCAGCATCGTATGCTGCTGCCGAGTAGCCAAGACTCTCGATGGCATCCAGCGCCTCACCCGCCACGTACTGTCGGAGCTGCAGCAGTTTGAATTCAGCGGAGAGCGGCTGCTGGTCCACACAAACGCTGAAAGCGGATTTCCAGCGCTCGTATTTTCGCTTCTCTCCGGTGAACACGGCAATTTCGATCCGCTTCAACTTGCTGGCGATGTTGATCTGTGCAGCTGCTGCTGGAGCAGTCCGTGGCGCAGGTCGAGCTGCGGTGCCTCCGACATATGTCGGAACTGGGGCGAATACTGCGGTCTGGGGTGCTTGCATGCCAGCGCTGAGTCTCGCACCGTACTGTGACGCTCCGGCCGAGATGGTGTGCGACGGTCCAGTAGACACAGGTGAGTTGTACATGACTGCACTATTGCTCGCACTCCACTGCGGTTGCTGTTGTTGGTACATGTATGCCTGCTGCGGCCTAGCACTATTGTTGCCATACGTTGCATACATCATACTAGGTGTTTGATCAGCAGTATCGTGGATCAGGAAGGCAGAGCCTTGTTCCTGATTTATAGCGGGAGCGTTGCTGCCCGTGGTCATAGTTGCAAATGACGCTGGCAGCACTGAACTACGTGGCTGGTACTCTGCAGCTGCTGCAGATAAAGCGGTACATGCATTGCTGTTGATCATATCCGTTTGCGGTGGCGCGTGTGCTGACGGGGTTGCCATGGCAACGGTCGGGAAGGGTTCGGCAGGTTCCCCCACACGCTGACCACTGAACATTACGACACGACTGTCCGGCTCTACTTTCACCCGTTCTCCATAGTCTGCAGCCCTGGGCAACATAACCCGCGCATCGTCCTGGCGACCAAGAAACGGTGCATCTTGGAGCGCCGCACGCAGATCTAGAATTTCTCTGCTTTCCTCTCGTACTGACGCCAGTAAAGGCGTTGCCCCTCTCAGTGGCGATTGCTTGGGACTGGGAGTCTGCCTGGTCGACGCTGCCAGGCTCGCTCTGCTGCTCCTGATGAGCACACTCCTGGCCAATTCCATGGCATCGGAATACTGGCCTTCCAGCTGCTTGTACTGCTTCTGGAGACCAGCATGTCTCCTAGAGTCAGTGTCCACCACCGCTTCCATGTACTCCATGATGACCTTCTTGGTCTCGTCATACACTGTCGTCAAGTGGCTTCTCCATGCATTTACGTCATCCTGGTTCGGCACCTCATTCGTTGACTCCACTGTCAAATTTCTCCTCGTATTTGTGAAATCCGTTTTCAGCTCTCTCTTTTTCCGTGCGAGGTCTTCTAGTTTTACCTCCATGATGGCTCCGTGAAAACCATCCTCTGCTACCAATAGTTTGGAGTTGACAGGAGGGCATGCACATCGAAACCACGCCTTGTCAACGACCCCTTCTTGCTCAGTTTTAACGACCACACTCAGCCAAAGAACAAAACAACAACGAAACACAACGACACACCAACGCTGATGTGGCATCGCAAATCCCGTACCGTGCACGCAGGCACTGGGTTGCAACAGAAAAAAGACGCGCTGCAAGCGTGCCAAGCAGCGAGTGAGTACAGAACGCGTACTAATGCCAGTCATGGCAACGGAAGATAAAATTATGGAGATCGACCCGATCGAGAGCAGAGTACGAAAAAAGCACACATTCAAAGTTCAAACTGTGCAACAGAAGCAGAAGAGGAAAACGAAAATGAACACTTGTCGTGAAGTGCTTCTGTCCAAGGGTGCTTGCACCCGACGGGGTGACAGCGCCCCTAGTCAGACAATACAAGGCAAACGAAATAGAAATTAGCTGAGTCACAGCGCGGGACTCCGAAACGAAAACCGGTGAGTATGTAAATATTAATTGTTTCGTACCTGCTGTACAACGTAACAATTCGTAACGTAATTTCAAACTAGCACTCGTAGAATTGTAGTGCGAATGTGCCACTCGATTATAGTAACAACGACAAAGAGATACTCTTCTAAACACTAGATCCTTAAAATGACCTTGGTACTCATGCTGTCTGCTACGGCACGCTCACTGTAAACTTTTTGAATTGTCCATTAACTCCAAAATGGCCACACATATGTTACCTATGACTTCTCCATCCCCAAACGGTGGTTATAGAAGATTGGTAAGAATATTGACTGAAGGTGGTGGGAACTGTTCTCCCAGTAAGTGTTAGATCTGTCTTAACAGCCGCAGAGTAGTCGAACACTTCTCTGTTGCTTTCCTCCGCCATTGATTACTTTGGCAATAGCAAGCTGCTCTACATTTGTACCTGCCATATGCATGTACCACACAGGTGCTATGCGTGAACTCCAACAACATCGAGCACATGCTGGGCAAGCCTGTCAATGGTCACCTGGTGCCCAGAGTCCGGGCAGTTGCACAGGCGTGCGAGGACACCGGCATGCCTGCACTTCTACCACACCTGGAGGTCCTGCACGCCGCGTAAGCCTAGTGTATAGTGTTTGTCACCGTATTGTCTCTCTCCGTACTGTCTCTCTCCGTATTGTCTCTCTCCGTACTGTCTCTCTCCGTACTGTCTCTCTCCGTACTGTCTCTCTCCGTACTGTCTCTCTTCGTACTGTCTCTCTCCGTACTGTCTCTCTCCGTACTGTCTCTCTCCGTACTGTCTCTCTCTCTCTCTTATCTGTATTACATGTATGCGCATGCTTGTTGTAAAATAAATCAGTCCTTGTCTTGTCCCGCAATGGACTCCCGCATGGCTTGCAGGCCAAACCTAACAGTAAGTATGTCACATCATTGAGGTGCGATTGGTGATCTACTTGTCGGAGGCCGTTACTAAAGTCGATTTGGCTGATTTATTTCTGCACACCTGGAATAGTATCACTGGCATGGTTAAAATACAAGCACCAACTTTCCAGGATAAGCTACCAGTTGGGGATAAAGGGCATGTGCCAGTGAAAAGAACGGAAAGGGAAATACCCAGTAATCACAAACATTAGATTTGTATAATAGTCAGCGTGAGAGTGCTGATAGTGTTCAGTTAAAGTTGGAGCATACACCTGCCACAGTAATGTGATGGTATAGTGGTGTGAAGGAGTGGGATCATATCTAGCTGAACAAGGGCTCATTATTGTAGGAGTTGCATTTTGATATAAAGTATATTTTTCGCAGTAAAAGAGTATTTATTTGTAGAGCTTGTGTTGATACAGATTCCTAGGTTCAAACCCCATGATGGGCAGTTAGTTACATTTTTTCTCTCCTTGCGTATTTTGTATCTGCATGTTATTACCCTTTCCGTGAGTCGCTCGTGAGTAATGTATGAGTCGTGTATGGCTAAACCCGTATGACTGTCTGTTGTGAACTGTGATTGGCTGCTAGTGTTATTGTTCTAGAACATTGGTATAATTAACCAATCACAGTTCACAGCTCTGGAATATTCTAGAATTTCGTCGGCGACCGGTTTATATAGATTGCTGATTGGTTGATGACCAAAAACATGGCTGCCGCTCGCCGTGTGTTTTGTCTTCTTGCATTGTTCTTTTCTTGTGCTTTTTCACTTCTTATCTTTACTTGCCGAGTGTGCAACTAATAATTCTGTCCTAACGAGTATTCGTGAAACCACAAAGTGAGTGCTTTGTTTGAGTGTGTGAAATTGTCTCCGAGGGCCAGCTATTACATTATCACCAGATAGAACTTGCTCCGACACACCGCATGATTGCAATTGTCATGAAACATTGCCAAAGTGTGCTCTGTTGTCCTATTATGTTGTCTGAACAGAGAGAATCGCTTCGCCTCTATGATGCACGTACAGTTGCACCGGTTTCCAGCGCTGCAATCTGTGTACCTGCAAGGTAAGCCGGGCGGCCCGGACTGGCTGCTTCACCAAGCCAACGGGAATCTGTGTGTTTATCTTGTTTGTCTGCACTATGTGATACATGTGATACATGTGATACATGTGATACATGTGATACATGTGATACATGTGATACATGTGATACCTGTGATACATGTGATACATGTGATACATGTGATACATGTGATACATGTGATACATGTGATACCTGTGATACATGTGATACATGTGATACATGTGATACATGTGATACATGTGATACATGTGATACATGTGATACATGTGATACATGTGATACATGTGATACATGTGATACATGTGATACTGTAGCAACTACATGTACAGTGAAACCTGTCTAAGACGACCGCTCAAGGGACCTGCAAAATGTGGTCTCTGTTACCAGATTGTCTCCTTATCCAGGATCGTTTGGCTGCAAATAGCATTCCTTGGTCCTGGTTAGAGTGGTCCTCTGAGGCAGGTGGTCGCCTTCTCAGAGTGGTCTCCTTGACAGGTTTTACAGTACATCTCACACCAACATGCTGGTCCTGGTCCTACATGCTGGTCCTGGTCCTACATGCTGCTGCTGGCCCTAGTGCTGGGCCTGTGTAGGTTACACAGCGTCATGGCTTGCATAAGAGTCAGTTTCCGTAATCCTTACCCACCACATCAGGAGCTGTGTTCGCGCCTTGATCCTTGAGGGCGGTGCCTATCTATGTATGCGGAACTGCTTGTGTTTTCGGGCGTAATTGCCGCTGTCTTTAGAACCTCCTTATTGGCAGCTTGATCATATTTTCAGATAACTGGACGTCTTGTGCTCACAAGCTGTGCATGACTTGGAAGAACAATCATGAAATATCTCAATCGGGTGGTCCACTGCTAGTGAGCCGGGGTGTGGCAAGCACCGCCTAATACGTGTGTCGTCAATTTAGTCGTCACGGGTTTGTCGCCCGGCTAGCTCAGTCGGTAGAGCATGAGACTCTTAATCTCAGGGTCGTGGGTTCGAGCCCCACGTTGGGCGCCAAATGTCGTCACGGGTTTGAGAACCGTGAACGAACTGCCTCTACGCTCCTCGCCACACCACACAACAAAGGACTAGCACAAATTGTTAGAGAGCTTTTCTTCTACTTCATTTCAGTAGGCGACTGGGGAACTCATAAAGAAGAACCAACACTGACAACGAACGACTGACGACTGACACTGAGACAAGACGAGACAACAGAATATATTATAGTGAAGGCGTACAACGGGGACACGACGAGCAAGTGTGTACCAACGGGGACAGAAGACGGTGCAGCCGCATGTACGCAGGAGTCAAAAACAGCGCAGCAGCATGTACCACGACTCAGCAGCATGTACAACAAAGAGACACAAAAGCAGCCACATGTACGACAAAGAGCTACAAGTGCAACCGCATGTACAACGAAGAGACACAAGCGCAGCCACATGTACAACACGTGCCTGACTGACACTGGCACATGCTGGCATGTGCATACGTCAGTCCATTGCATGTTCCACACTCATACAAGCATATCAACTCAATCTACTGGCAGCTAGCTATTTCGACCTTGTTAGGTTTCGTCAGCAGACTGGCTCAGAGTTACTAGCCGAACTGATCGCGATGAGGTATTATGAACAACAAAGCTTATTTAAACCAGCTCAAAGCATCAAAGCATATCTATACATCAGGAACTTGGCGGCCGCAAGCCGGTGCTCCTATTCTTGATATTTATGCTCCCAGTGATCATCAGGCAAGTAGCGATTGGATTGCCGGAGTGTAGGGGACAGGGACAGGAAAGGGTAGGGAGGCCGTCGCATCTGGTGTGGCACCAGTTCCACACATGCGCGTGAAGCTAGGAGAACGGTAAGACACATGCTGCTTGTGAAGGAAGGAGACTGAGTAAGAGCGTATTTTAATGTTGATCTCTCGCCTAATCCTGTGTCGACAGGTAATCGCATTATTCATGTGGAGGGACTGGAGCAGAACTACCATCTGAAGGAGCTGGTCTTGGATCGCAATCTCATCAAGGTAAAGTGGAGAATCACTGTAACAACTTAAAGAGAGAGCAAGCATACTTCTTTTGTAGAGAGCAATCATAATAGCTACTAGCCCATGCCTCAATTCTCACATCTCCATCTGCAAAGAAAGAGCAGCGGTTTAGCAAAGACCATGGGCTTTTGGTGCAGCGTGCTGTGGCTACTTTTAAGAGATCAGTGAGCTCACTGCGTTCTGCTAATGTAATGGACGTCGATACAGTACTGAGATTATTGCACAGGGAAATCTATGCAGGTGTGTGCATTGGTACACCTAGCCACTGCAATGCACATGCTACGCATATGTATGGCCTCTACTTGGCAACAGCACAATGAGGCAAGTTTGATGAGGCAGTGTCACAGGAAGATGAAGGAAAATGAGTGGAGCTTTAGTGTGCAGGGGGACTAGCTCACATGGTAGAGCGCTCGCTTAGCATGCGAGAGGTACCGGGATCGATACCCGGGTTCTCCAGGCCAACTTTTTTTGTTTGTTCGAGCTTGTTTGCATGCATTTCCAACTGTAATCAACCAGCAGCACATACTGGTATGGAGCTACTGGACGTTTGACTGTACTGAAAACATGCTATGAACATTCTGATGCCAGCGAGAAGAAGGTCCTAGTAAGGTTGCAGTAGCTGCCAAATGTTTCAAGAGTCCCTGTTGTAGTTGTGTGCACGCCGTGAGGAAGGTTTTTCAAATTCGACACGTTTGATGAAAAGCCATATTAGAGACTCACCAAGTTAGAAACCAAACTTGCTCTTACCAATTGCAGATAAAAGAGACCAAAGTGCAGCCCATGTTGAATTTTACAACTGTTGCAGTTCGCCAATTCTAAGTTCACCTTCACCTATCTATCTCCATTGAACTGAGCAAATTGGTAGCCAAAATATTGTGCAACGCCTGTCTATGCTGCGGCGTATTACCACTCCCATTGCAAATTTATTGCTTAGACCATCATGAATCATCGGATATCCTCTCATACCGTGGGTTCTGAGCTGGATATCTGTATTGCTATCTGTATCACTATGGTGATAATGGGAATGATATGCATGCATGTTTTGCCCCTTGCACAACCCGCAGCAATGCGCGACAGAATTTACATTGGTGATACGGTAATATCTCCACGCATACCGGCGTGATATGCGAAAAAGCCAACGCTTCGCCATGGGCTCATTCTTACGGAGTTGCCCACTTTAGTTTATGTACTCTTGCTTGTACTCGTACATCATGACATTCTGATTTGTAGATGTAGTACTGATGTACTCAACCCAAACATAGGGCAACGGCAGCGCAAGAAGCATTGTGCCAAGAAGATCAATGCAAATGAGCGAGGCATTGTTGTGCAGGGGGACTAGCTCACATGGTAGAGCGCTCGCTTAGCATGCGAGAGGTACCGGGATCGATACCCGGGTTCTCCAGGCTGACTTTTTTTGTTCGAGCTTGCATACCCACAACCTACAATGATGCCATTTGGGGCAAAACTTTTGCCCCAAATGGCATCATTGTAGGCTGTGGCATTTCTAACTTTGTAAGGCCGCAACCACACTACGTAAAAATCACAGTACAAATTTCCATGCATATCTCAGTACAAGTCGGTACGCAACCACACTACACTTTTCGGACTGCATAGATGACGTTTTCACACGACCAGCACGTGACGTTGTCGTACCAAAGCGTGTGCCATGCGCTGGAAAAGACCGGGAAATTCAAAAACAATGCTGATGCTATTATATGTACGATGACCCGGTACAAAAGCAAAGTTGTACACAGGAGAAGGAGCGCGAAAACGACAAACGTGGCTTTCTACAGGGGTGCGCCAGTTGCTGAAAACCTACAAAGCGCATTTTGCATTTTGCACGAGTCGGCATGACGATTTCTACTGTAATGCCGTTTGTACTTGATTTTGTACCTAATGTGGTTGCAGCCTAAAGTACCGTTGATCCGCCCCCCACGCCATGTCGCTTCCCAGCTGGGTTTTTGGCAGGGGGCGGGAATTAGATCAAGGCTTGTCAAGTGCAGTACGATGTACAACAACGTGGAGGATCAGACTCGATGTGCTGGATTGTGCACATTTTCATCCTGCACTGTCACGTATTGTGTGCAGCAGTGCATGCTTCGGTTCAACATCGTATTTTGTTGTACGAGGTGAATTGCTATTTCTGGACATTGTACATTTCTGGACATTTCGAGTAAAATAATTTTTCGTCGCATGTAGAGTCAAGTCAGTCAGGTTGATGAAGTTTTTTCTTGTTGTAGTTGACAGCTGGGCTGTTGTAGTTTCACCTCGTGTCGGTGCCTTGTTGATAGCTGTAACGTTTGGGTTTGTCCCAACGTCAAACACAAGACTCCACTCAACAGCTCCAGACAACGACTGAGGTTTATTTACAAGAAGAAGGAAAGATAAAGATAAACTGTCATGATGTGTATATGTACACAGTACGGGAATGCATAGGTTACTGATCCAGGAACGGATCGGGTACATCGATAGACTCATGAGAGTACAGAGTACATAGAACGATAATTATATAGATTGTGTCATCCATTTATGGGTAAGCGAATGGGACCACAACATCTCCCTTTTTATGTTTGAAGAGAAACGCAAAACTCAGAGAATACAGAGTCCTGCACATACAAACAAGAGGGGGCAGAAACACATAATACTGAGCAATGTGTTCACAGGTCGAGTCTCGGCGGCGGCCGGGAAGGACGTGTGGATCGGCGCAAGGCAGGTTGAAACTCTACATCAGCGGATGGAGGTTCAGGTGCACTGGCATTCAACTGCGGCGCCGGTTGCACATCGGGCAGTATCTTGATATGGCGACGGTTACGGCGGTACTCGGTGAGGTCGTCTGTGGCTACGGTATACGAACGCTCATCGGTACGTTCAGTGACAACTGCTTCTGACTCTAGGTCAGGGATCCAAACTCTTGTACCTTGCTCTAGTACTGGCAGTGGCTGTACTCGATGTGCGGCATCATAGCTAGCACTCTGGCGTGTCTTGCTGGCTGCCTCACGTTTCCGTAGTGCTTCGATATCCGGCCAGCCGGGACGGAGCGCTTCCTTCGTAGACGGAAGACGGGTGCGAAGACGGCGACCGAATAGCAGTTCTGCTGGTGAGAACCCGTTCGCTAATGGTGTGGACCGGTAGACGAGAAGGGCATCGTCAAGGTTGTCGTTAGTCTTGAGAAGACGCTTGACGGTTTGTACTGCTCGCTCCGCCTCACCATTGCTCTGCGGATATCTCGGGCTACTCGTACGGTGGCTGACTTTCATCACGGTTGCGAAGGCTGAGAACTCGGCACTGGCGAATTGCGGGCCATTGTCCGATACCAGGACTTCGGGTACACCGTGTATCGAGGAGCTGCTGGAGACGGCGCTGGAAAATTTCCGGAGCACTGGTGATTCCGAACGGCAGGCGTTCGAACTTGAACCGGCCGAACGGGGTGATGAACGTGGTGAACATGGAGGCTTCTTCTGACAGGGGAATTTGCCAGAAACCAGATGCGGTGTCGAGTGTGGAGAAAATGGTTGACCCATTAAGCTTTGCCAGCGTGTCGTCCACAGTAGGCAACGGAAAATGCTCCCGTTTGACACTCGCGTTGAGCTTTTTCAGATCGACACACACTCGGACATTGCCATTCGGCTTCAACACCGGGACCATCGGCGCACACCAGTCTGTCGGCTGTTCCACCTTTGTTATCACCCCCTCAGTCTCCATCCGTTCCAGCTCGCGACGAACTTTGAGGCGGATATGGATGGGCACCCTACGTGCGTTGACGCAGTTGTATGGCTTTGCATCGGGGCGAAGCTCAATCTTCACTGGGTCGCCGAGCATGCAACCAAGGGCAGGGCTAGCAGTTGACACACCAATGTGGCCTCGCTGGACTAGACCCATTCTCTGCGAGGTTTGGCGGCTTAGCAGGTTGACACCACCAGTGGCAATGACCAGGAGTGTGATGGAGTACGAGACACCATGCAGGGTAGCCTCAGTACTGAATTCGCCATCAATGTCAAGCTTCTTGCCATCTGCTCCGGTGACATGAGACTTGGTGGGACTGAGTGCTGGTCGTTCTGGCAGTGTGTGGAAACAGTCACGGGTCAAGATATTCAGGTCTGCGCCTGTGTCGATCTTGAAATTGATGTCCGCGTGACACACACGGAGCTGCACAGTCCAGGGTGCGTCAGCACTGTTACTTTGAGTCGAGGCTGCTCCCAGAAAGTGTGCTGGGTCTTCGTCATGTCCTGTCGTCGACGCAGCATGTGCAGCGCGTCCAGAACCATTGGAACTGCTACGACAAACTGACGCGAAGTGGCCTGTCTTCTGGCAAGTCAAGCACGTCTTTGACTTCGCTGGGCATTCATCGCGGTTTGCCTTGTGATCCTTTGAAGAACCACACCACAAGCACTTGCGAAAGTTTCCACTTGACGATTGGTACGATTTCTTACTAGACGACTTGCTGGGTGCAGGCGAGGAGCGCTGTCCATGGCCTCGAGCGCGACTAGTTATAGCTGCAGCAGCTTGCTTGCCGAGATGCCCGTCCAAGGAAGATTGCTGGGCGACTTCAGCATTCACGGATTCCGTTTTCCGAGCAAGACTCACGGCTGTTTCCAAGTCCAGTGAGGTGTGATCCTCGAGCTGTAGCTTTTTTGAAACTTCTCTGTTCGTCATGTGAGCTACGAGTCGGTCTCGGATTCTCTCATCAGGTTTATCAAATGCGCAGTACTTGGCGGCGGCTCGTAGTCGGCGGACATACGTTTCGACAGTTTCCCCTGGGGACTGCACGCAGTGCTCGAAAAGAGTCCTCTGGTGGATCACGTTCACGCCAGGGCGAAAATACTTGTCGAATGCTGAAAGGACAGGGGCAATTTTCTTCTTGTCCTCCGCCGACAGGTTCAAAGACTCGAAAATCGGGTCGGCCTCGGGACCCATGGAATAAACAAGCGTATCCACCTGGCGTGGCTGGTCTGACTCGTCCAGTTTGGTCAAGGAGCGAAATCTTTCGAACCTGGCTTTCCAGGTTGGCCATGCTTCTGGCGCTGAGAAGTCGAAAGCGCCGGGGAGTGGGAACTTTGCAGAAGACATTTCTGCAATCAAACTTCTGACACCATGTAACGTTTGGGTTTGTCCCAACGTCAAACACAAGACTCCACTCAACAGCTCCAGACAACGACTGAGGTTTATTTACAAGAAGAAGGAAAGATAAAGATAAACTGTCATGATGTGTATATGTACACAGTACGGGAATGCATAGGTAACTGATCCAGGAACGGATCGGGTACATCGATAGACTCATGAGAGTACAGAGTACATAGAACGATAATTATATAGATTGTGTCATCCATTTATGGGTAAGCGAATGGGACCACAACAATAGCCTTTTCTTGGGAGGCATTTCAACGAGTTTTGTGGTACTATGTCGCATGAGGATTTTGAATTTTGAGTAAAATAAGAAGTAATGGACGAATCGTTGGCATCCCCATGTGCACTCCACCTCAGACGCTGTATAGTCTTGGACCTGTTGGCTGGAAGTGTGAAGAGGCCAACTGCAGTCCACCAATAGAAAAAACAACAAAAATGGTGCCGTATAGGATGCCTATTGACGCTATTTTACTTTCATGTCCAGAATTCCATACAGTGAAATTTAGGCCAAAAAATTGGCCTGTCGAAAACATCCTGCTATAAAGTCTCTGGGATCACAGCATGAGCAATTGTCACATATTTGGAAAGATGAAGGATTAGGCCATACAATAGATACAAAATAGATATGAAAAATGTAAAACACACAGCCAGTGGGCCTCTATTTTATTTTCATGTACAGAAATTGCTATTCACCTCGTATACGCCGAAGTCGCTTCACAGGTAGAAAATCGACAGGGGGCGGCAATTAGAGAGGGGGCGGGCGGATCAACGGTACTTTACGGTACGAGCCAGTAGACCAAAGTTGGAATGCATGCCCACAAGCTCGAACAAAAAAAAAGTCAGCTTGGAGAACCCGGGTATCGATCCCGGTACCTCTCGCATGCTAAGCGAGCGCTCTACCATGTGAGCTAGTCCCCCTGCACAACAAAGATTCATCCATTTGCATTGATCTTCTTGGCACAATGCTTCTTGCACTGCCGTTGCCCTATATTTGGGTTGAGTACGAGCGTACATCTACAAATCAGAATTTCATGATGTATGAGTACAAGCAAGAGTCCATGAACTAAAGTGGGCAACTCCGTAAGAATGAGCCCAATTATGCATTCGAAAATACTTTTGATGTACATGTAGATGAGATCAATTTCATTTCGTTCATGCCAAGTCACTGAACCTCTCCCATTAATGACGAGGATCTTTGAAGGGAAAGAACTGTCTGTATCAGCAGCTGCAAAATAGCGCAATACTTCCTCAGTCTCACATTTGGCCGCAATACGTTAAATAGTCATTCCTGTAGGTTAGTGTGGAAAAGACGCAAGAAAGTTCATTACACGTGCCAGGCAAGTTTTGTTTCAGAATTGCGAGAATTGGCGCGACGTTACCGGAAATGGGCACAAACATTCACTTTCCAGGACCTCTGTGGACCTTTTGGTACAGGCAAAGAAAGTAAATGACCTACCTGCATGCCGCTAAAATTCAACAAAAAGCCTGAGTGTGCTTGCTTGTGTGTGTACATGTGTGTGCATGTGTGTATGCGTACGCGCGCACGCGTGTGTGTGTGTGTTTGTGTAACATTACTCCACAGGAGCTGAGTCTGAACAGCTTTCTCAGTCAGTTCAAGCTCACACAGCTGCACCTGGAAGAGAACAGGTGAGTCCATGAAGATAATCTGACAGCCTGAGTGTACATGATGGAATTACCTGGCTTTTTCCACCAGTGTTTTAGGTCTTTCACAGCAGCAGGCGCATATGCAAGATTTGGCAGGGGAGAGAGAGAGAGAGAGAGAATGATAAAGAGAGAGAACCTGCCCCTCTGAATCTGCCTCAAAATACCATGCATATTCAATTGTCAGGGGCGTAGCACCCGCTACGACTGGTACGACCATGGCCGTACCACTTTTCGAAAAGTGTGGTCCGTCCAGAACGTGCAAAACCGTATTAAAAAAAATCAGGATCCATCGATGCATATGCGCTGATGACTTTGACCTTTTTCTAGGCTCGTACTCGTAGATCTGCCATGCATCTGCAGTCGTACTGGGTACTGTACTCTACTCGACTGCACACTGAATAGTCCCAGAACGCAGGATTTTGTGTCTTTTTTACAAAATTTCCCGGGGGAGGCCTCCCCCGGACCCCCTCCAACACGGCCTTCGCCCGCGCCGACCTTCGGTCGTACCACTTCCAAAACCCCTCCTAAGACCCCTGCAATTGTGCTCACCCAGCTCTGTGCTAGCCGCTGGTATTGCAACCATTGCGGAACACACTCGTCACGGATCGTGGGTTGGTTGGTTTGCTTTGGTTTGCTTTGGTTTGCTCTGCTTTGCAGGTTGAAATCTCTCCTGCACCTCGACCCCTTGAAGAATCTGGAGAGACTCTACATTGGCAAGAACCAAATACGGGTAACTGTTAACTTATGTCTGCGTGGCTGATTCTGGTTGAGGATGCACACTGGTCTTGCATAGTGAATACCCAGCGGGTATGCTGCCATAACGGGCCCTATTGCTAAGGCGCATCATGGGTGATATGCGAAGTGGAGCAACGTGATAATTATGGCGGGGCAAACATTCATTGCTGTGCAGTGTGGACCAATACTCCACGGCATTCTCATGTGTTTAGGTTGTCTTCATATATTCATTTCTCAGTCTGTACACACACTCTGTGGTCTCTTTACTGCGAAAATCTCCTCTTCCGGCAATACTATTACAATGCTTAGCCAGCTGGCAATGCGGCACAAGATAACTTAATCCACCAAGTAGGTGTGCTGTCATGCGGTGCTTGCGATGTGTGCACTGATGGTGTAATTGTGCGCATCGTGTTCGGTGACAATTCCCAGGAACTGCCAGAGGTCGAGCGACTCTTGATGCTGAAGAATCTCAAAGAAGTCTCGTTACTTCAGAACCCTGTAAGGAAGCCACCACTTGAAGTATGTGTGCATTGGTATACCGGGCTTCGATGAAGTTGCTCGGTTTCACCAGTTTCAATGAGTTAGCCCTGCACTCAAAACAACATTCACTTCGGTAATGTTGGCTTCACATCCTGAACAATACGTGTAGGCGTATTGAATCTAAGATTGATGGGCCTGTTGCCGCATCCTATCCTGATGCATTTCCCTGTGCTGGTGTGTCATTGTATGGATATTAGTGATGTAAGGAATATTCGAATTATTCGAATATTCTAGAATTCCAACACCAGAAAGAATATTCGAGTGCAGGCAGGATCATTCGATATTCGAAAATTCGAAAAATTGGCACTTTTTGGTTGTGTTATTTAGCTCCAACCTTGATCTCCTGAACAGTATTGAGGATGACAGTATAGAAAATATTTTCTGAGAACTGTGAAGCTTGTTCTTGAGAAAAGTCTGCTCTGTAAGCAGTTGGAATGTGATCTGTATGCAACATGAATGTTGAGTCTGATGGAGTAAAGTGATCGATGCACATCACAAGAATAATAGAATATTCGTTCGTTCGTCAAAGCAATATTCGAGAGATTATTCGTTCGAAGAAAACACCATTCGTTACATCACTAAATTACTAAGCCTTCGCCAAAATGTCTGTCCGTCTTGGGTGTCAATGTGGGACATGCAGGTAACAAACAGGCCGTTGCATCGTCCTCTGTTGATCCTGCACCACACCAGTGTCAACGTGATCGACGGCCAGCCGGTGTCAGTGGAAGAGAGGCAGAGTGTCGTGTCTTTCTTTTCTCAACTCAATGGCGGAAACCAGGTTCGTGTGTGTATGATAAACTACTGGTAGCCAAGCACAGTTTCACGAACCCCTTTCGAGGACACCTTTCATTTACACCAGATAGTCACATACCATTTGGATGCTCGATTCTGCTAGAAATGGGATGCATGTGTTTTAGTGGAGTGGCCTGCAAATGACCTTAGGTGAAGTAAAATTGCGCTCGGTGAAATCCGGCCCGAAGTACAAAGCTGGTACTCTGGAATAGTTCCGATTACATCGTTGTATTTGTACATGTGTACGTCCAACCGCCTTCGTGCCACTTCCAGGGCGTCCATGGTGTGCTAGTTGAGGGCGCCAACTACGCACTCTGGGTCGGATTTCATCAAGCGCACCTGTAGGTGGCAGCAGGAAATAAATGGAAGAATGCTTTCTTTTGACAGTGCTTTCATTCTGATGGGCAGGTTTCTGTTTTGGCAGGTATTTTGGTCACAATTCCTGGCTTTACGTGATTGCAATTTCAAACACCAGATTGAAATCAGTGGCGATAAGGTGTGTTGGGGCCGGGTCTTGTGGATGTGTTGGTCTGGTGTATTATATGCAGTTTCAGTATCAAAGTGTGGTGGCACCTCGCTATCCCACAGATGCACCACAGGCGATGGCAGCACTCCCGTCAATATACGTGAGCAAACCGTGTGATGTTCTTGTTGTTGTACGTACAACATGGAAGCTGATGGAACAGCCTGTGATAAAGACATTCGGTCTGCTTCAAGTGTCTCTGGCTGTATCTGTGTCTGTGCCTGCATCTGTGTCTGTGTGAGTGGGTGTGTGTGTCCCATATGGTGCAGTGGTATGTGCAGCGATTTCCAATCGATAGGCTGCGGGTTCGATTCCCGACGATTATGGTCACACGTCTTTGTTCTCTTTCTCAGACTCTTCCTGACTTTTCTTTCATTCTCCTGGGTGGTTACCAACAGCCAGTGTATGCCGGAGTATGTGGTGTGTGTGTAGAAAAAAAATGGAAAAATAGGGATTCACTGGCCAGAAAAAGTCACTTCAAACAGCTGTGTGGTGGCTACCAGGCTAAAAATAGTGGCGGTCAATTCATCAGCCTGGCAAGCTGTTGAATGGTGTAATCCCAGCACAAGTTGCTATGTCTAACATAAGTGTTCGCTATCATCGCTCCCGCGATGGGCATGTCTGAGGTCTGAGGGTGCATGCACATGCGCATGTGCCTGCGTGCATGGGTGTGTGTCCCATACGCATGCATAGAATATCATATAAGCCAGGCGATGTGGCTAGGGGGATGCAGATGGGGAAAGCTACAGTGCAGCACTGCATACGTGCAAACTTATATGGATTTATTTTATGTCGGGCTGGACTGGTGCTGCATGCTTGGAGCATTGCAGCTGGTATCATGATTGACTCTGTGTGTGCCTGTACTCTGTGTATATTGTTTATAGCACACAGCAGTTCAAGGAAGCTCTGGAAATTGGCAACAAGCAGACACAGGTATTAAATGTCATACATTAATGCTGCATACTGCACTCCTTGAAGTATAATCGTTGTTATGACTTGTTCTCACCTGCATGACATTGTGCACTGGCACACTGCTAGTATGCAAGTATAATTGCCTGTGGTGTTGACACAGTGTTTTGTGGTTCTGCTTAGTGTACATCAAGCCAATGCAAATGCTCTTTACAAGCAGGTGTTTGGGCACAAGCATAGTGAGACTGATTAAGCAGGTTTTTTCTGTACTGGGTTTGCCTACTGTAGTGGCCTGCTCTTTATACACTGTAACAGATATGTCGCTGTAGCAAGTATTATCTATAGCAAGGTTATCACTATGACATGATTGTATTTCTTGTGGCCAACCCTTTCCCCTTTAGTATGCATTCCCCCATAGCAGGTTTGTTCCCAATAGCAGGCATGTTCCCATAACAAGTCCATTACCCGTAACAGGTACATGTATATTTCCCATGGCAGGTCTGTTTCACATACTAGTAGCAGGTATATTTCCCATAGCAGGTCTGTTTCCCATAACAGGTATGTTTCCCATAGCAGGTATGTTCCCCACAGCAGGTCCGTTTCCCACAGCAGGTCCGTTCCCCATAGTAGGTATGTTCCCCATAGCAGGTATGTTCCCTATATCAGGTACCGTATTTCCTCGATTAATGGACCATGCTCGAATAATAGACCATGCTCAAATAGTAGACCCTCCTAGAGGCCTCACGGAAAAATAGTAGACCATGCCCGAATAAGAGACCCGGTCTCTTATTTGAGTTCATCGCTTTGCGCATGCGCACTAAGAAAGCACGTGGTGGATCAAAAAAGGACGCGATTTAGGTTGCGCAACTACAATTTTTGTAGTGGCTAGTGCTTTCTTTCATTATTTGAGCACGGTCCACTATATTTTCATCGGCACATCGCTGGAAATGGTGGGTTTTTAACACGTCATAATATAGAACTTCCATATTATGACGTGTTAAAAATCCACCGTTTCCAGCGATGCGCCGATGAAAATATAGTGGACCGTGCTCAAATAATGGACCATGCCCAAATAAGAGACCGGGGGTCCAACCCTCTTCAAAAACAAAAGACCGGGTCTATTAATCGAGGAAATATGGTATGTTCCCCATGTCAGGTCTGTTTCCCACAGCAGATCTGTTTCCCACAGCAGATCCGTTTCCCATAGTAGGTCTGTTTCCCACAGCAGGTCCGTTTCCCACGTTTCCCACAGCAGGTCCGTTCCCCACAGCAGATCCGTTCCCCATAGCAGGTATGTTCCCCATAGCAGGTATGTTCTCCATAGCAGGTACGTTCCCTATATCAGGTCTGTTTCCCACAGCAGGTCCGTTTCCCACAGGAGGCCCGTGCCCCATTGCAGGTCGGTTCACCATAGCAGGTCCGTGCCCCATAGCAGGTCCGTGCCCCATAGCAGGTCCGTGCCCCATAGCAGGTCCGTTCCCATAGTAGGTATGTTCCCATAGTAGGTCCGTTCCCCATAGCAAGTATGTTCCCCATAGTAGGTCCGCTCTCCATAGAAAGGTATGTTGCCCATAACAGGTATGTTGCCCATAGCACGTCTGTTTCCCACAGCAGGTCTGTTTCCCACAGCAGGTCTGTTTCCCACAGCAGGTCCGTTCCCACAGCAGGTCCGTTTCCCACAGCAGGTCCGTTTCCCACAGCAGGTCCGTTTCCCACAGCAGGTCCGTTTCCCATAGCAGGTCCGTTTCCCATAGCAGGCCTGTTCCCCATTGTAGGTCTTGTGTATGTGTGTGTTTGAAAGGTATGTTGCCCATAACAGGTATGTTGCCCATAGCACGTCTGTTTCCCACAGCAGGTCTGTTTCCCACAGCAGGTCTGTTTCCCACAGCAGGTCCGTTCCCACAGCAGGTCCGTTTCCCACAGCAGGTCCGTTTCCCACAGCAGGTCCGTTTCCCACAGCAGGTCCGTTTCCCACAGCAGGTCCGTTTCCCATAGCAGGTCCGTTTCCCATAGCAGGCCTGTTCCCCATTGTAGGTCTTGTGTATGTGTGTGTTTGTGTGCATATTGCAGTCCAGTCATGTGCCACACTGCCTCCCTCTTACGGTGCTAGCAATGCCAATAGCACACGCACTAACCAATCGCGGCATCCACTGCCATTTCAGCAAGGCAATGTGGGGCAGGTAATGTAGCAAATGTCACTGTGTATACTTTCAAGGATATGAACTGATATGGCTTCTCTTTGGACTAGATCAATATCGCTCAGTCATTATTTCAGAATTTCCCACGTGGTCATCACCTGAATGCGATGCATTTGTTACATGCAGGCTGTGAAGGTGGTGTTGCATGTAGCATGATGGTAGGTGTGCCTACGTGTACAGCACTGGTGGCATAACAACATGCCGATTGATATGTAGCATGACTGTAGCTGGGTGTCTGCAGTCCCATTTCAAGGCTGACATAATTATTATGATTTCGATCTGGAATGCTGCTGTTTCTCTGCAGCACCACCAGCACCACTCCCATAGCAAGCCAAACCGCCATAATAGAGGCATGTGATGCTGCCTATCAAGATTTCAGCTTCACGTTCGGGTGATCAATGTACTGGATCTATATGGAGACACGTTTTCTTCGGCTGCAAGTTGTTGTATGTATGGACTGAGACCCCAGAGGATAGTTCATCTTTCACATTCTTCGACGAGTGTCATGTTTCATGCTCCATAACTCGCTGTGCTTTGCACACGAGACCCTGTAGTAATCTGTCACTAAGTTTCCACTTTTCACTGCGTACCAGTTGCACTGAGTACAATGGTGCCTGGTGCAATCTCGCACCCCCTCGGCCGGGGTCTCAGCTTTATAACTGAGCGGTGCAGTTGTTGAATTCCACATGGCACCACTGCACTCACATAGTAGTAGTGTGTGCGTGTGTGCGTGCGTGTGTGCGTGCGTGTGCGCATGTGTGTGTGTGTGTGTGTGTGTGTGTGTGTGTGTGTGTGTGTGTGTGTGTGTGTGTGTGTGTGTGTGTGTGTGTCCTACTCTTGATTCGCTCTCCGGTTGATTTCACAAGTCTAGACCTGTTCGTCTTCTTGCACTATGACATGTGCCAGAATCAATGATTATCTATTTGCGCTATTATCACGCCCACGTTGTTGCGGATAACAAACCTATTGTCAGTTCAGCCTCTGTGATTTCTTCAGTTTCTATTTTTGTTGACATTGGCAATACGTTCCCAATCAGCAGTCCTCCCCGGTGATAACGTTCACTGAATGTTTGTTATAGCTTCACGGTTCTCAGATACATGTAACATTCAGTGGTGTGGTAGCAGCTGACAATATTACTATGGCTGCCACGGTGGGGCACTATCGCCGGCTTGTTTACCCGCATCGGGCCGTGTCTGTCAGTTTCCCACCATCAGCCAGTCTTCTTGTACATCAGGCAGCACCGCTTTACATGCTAAAGTGTGACCACTGGCCATCACACATCGGGTGTGTGAATGCTTCCATTCAGAGGATTCGGCAAAGATTCACGGCACGTGTGTGCATCGCCTGATTTGTAAGCACAAATGTAGGACACGTGACTTGGCCAATCAGGACTGGGTTGTTGCGGCTAGCTTCTTCATAACACTCGGGAGCACGGTGTAGACTGCTCTTGGGGATAATCGGCATTTCGGTCCGGCTTTGGTAGGATTATATTAAATTGAACTTGCGTCAAAGACCAAGTGAGTCCCTCCCTGTCCACACAATGACGGCGGTGATTACTTGGTTACGGCACCAGCAGGGAGTTGTGTGTACAAACTGAGAACTGAGGAGCCAAGGCCGGGCCATGGGTGGGTAGGTGTGATCCCGGTAGTTATCTTTACATGTGCTATAAAAGGGCACTGTCTCGCAAAGGGGTCCCGGATCATCGAGTCGACTCAAATCCGGCTCATGGATACTTCTTTTGCAACATAGGCCCGGGCCGGGTATACAACTCCCACACCACTGCAGACAGTCAAGTTTTAAATAATGATGTGATCATCGGAATAGTAGACCTATTCGAGGGTGCATCTGATCATCATCATAATCATGTACAGTCAAACCTCTTTAGGACGAACACTAAGGGTCCGGTGTTATTTGTTTGCAACCATGAACGGGAGTTCTTCTTATCCATATTAATTTTTATCCAGTGAACACAGCGTTTTACTTTTATCCAATAAAGTCATGTCCGGGCACCCACGTACCCGGTACCGGATACCCGGCCGACCGTAGTGACCGGGCAACACTGAAAAGGTCACGTGCTAGACGGCCCCAGCGGCGTGGCACCCAAGCAAGCAACTCATTTGCTGAGAAGGAAATTTTGAAAAAAAATCATCAGTCAAATTAAATTTTGATTCACTACAACTAGCACGTGCTACTCGTACTAGTACTAGCACTGTCGATCATCGAGCTCTCTGTTTCAAGAGAAGCTTACCTTTTTTTATCCTCTGCTTCATGGCGCTAAGCTCATTGTGGATTGGAGAAAAGATCACTTCTAACCGTAGAAACATGTTCAGCTCTGTCTTGTCTGTGACTGTCGCTACATTGTTCCTGGGCTGTGCCTGTTTTTGTGTTGCTGGGTCCAATGGGATTGAGTGGTGCATTCAGCCTTCAACGGTGCGGGTAGCTCAGGACTCTCTCTGCACGTCACCGAGCTTGGCACGTCATGGCAGAAGAGATATCTCGTGGCACGCTATGCGTGGTGAGCGTGAGAGTGCGCAGCTCGTTCTGACTAAGCCAGACGCTGGACTGCTTTCTGTCGAATTTTCCGATTTGAAGTCGACAGCTGGCGATGTTATACCTTCCCAGCAACTGGCTTTCAAACAAGTGATGTATGTGTTCTGCAGGAAAAGTCCTAGGTGAGTGTATTTGAAATTAGAATGTATTTTAATTTTTAAATCTACAAAGTCTATGATAAGAGAGCTTGAAAGTGATGACGTCTGGAGTCAGTAAATAACGACTTACTGGTATGGGCTAAATTGGACTATACACATTAAAAAACACCCGTAGTATAAGACATACACATTGAGAACATCACACACGCACACACAATACAATACAATACAATATGCCCATCCGGAGATGATGGCAGGTCCCGAAGGGACCAACACTGTTCAAGTCACGAGCAGAATCGGGCGTGGCGAGTCAAGTCCTGGCGACGGCGATAGCGCTTTCCACAAGTGCAAACGAAGTCTAAGGTGACGGGCTCGGTCGGGGGAATGGTGCTGCATGCTGATCTCCACTCTCTTCGATCCTGGGCGAGGTCGTACCAGTCCACTATCTGGCGGTCCTTCATGTCGGACACAACATTGTCCCGCCACCGCTTCCGGGGCCCATGACGTGGCCGGGTCTTGTCCAGTTCGCCGAAGAGGATACACTTTGGCACACGGGAGTCATCCATTCGAGCAACATGGCCTAACCAGCGGAGTCGACGCGTTTTCAGTGTCGCACACACACACGCACACACACACACACACACACACACACACACACACACCATGTACCATGTACAGTCAACTTCGCGTATAACAACACTCGGCGGGGCATAAGAAAAGTGTCCTTATTCACGAAGTGTCGTTATACCCGAAGTCCCATTATATGTATTACAGTTGGATGTGACTTTGCTCTGGGCATGGAAATTCTGTCGTTATTCGCGAATTGTCGTTATATCCGCAGTCGTTATTAGCCAAGTTGACTGTACCATGTATACGCCCGTCGCAAGAGAAGCACGCAAATTTGCAAATGCACTGGATGTGCACCCACAGATTTTCTCTTTATAGCAACGATAGCGGATCTGATTCTGATTGAATCAGATCAAGACAAGCGCCAGATAACTGTCTAATCCACACGACTGGCGAAGCCATGTGAATCGACCCCCCAATGCACACCTGGTCTACACCACACGGAGTACATCAGAATAGGACGGCCAAGACAGTTACCTATGCACACCCTACACTTGCTGGGGTAACCAGTATAGACAGCACGCTGCTTTGATAAAAGCAGACACTAGATGCACTGGTACCTTGAAGTGAAATTGGAGTTATTTTACCAACCAGCCTCGGCAACTGGGTACTGGGAACCCAGGGCCAACAGAGGTACCAACAACCTCAGCCATGAAAGCTATATAGTAACGACACACTGGATTGTGGAGCCGAAACACACACACCCTTCCTTCCTTCCTTCCTTCCTTCCTTGTACCACTACCGTGTCCGGCTATGTGACCCCCAAAGGGGCAGACTCGGATTTGTGCTGTCCATCAGGGCGCTCGATGGGAGTGTCTTATCGCGTTACATTTGTGGCGACTCACATCCTGCCGCCGCCGAAAACTACGGTGGCATACCGGGAATTTGAACGGCTTCGTTACCGGTTGATGCCTAATGTTGGCGATGTGCTCAACTCCATCACGGCACCTCAGACGCCATTCCTCCCTGTCCTGGGCGACACACACACACACACCAACACTGTACTGTACTGTACTGTACTTGCTCACTGCCATAATTGGTGGCGTGGGTCTTCCCAGGAGAGGGGAGAGAGGAACTGAAAAAGGAATCTTGGAAAGAGGACTCAATTGGCTATCAAACCGCCCAACGGCCGACACCCCCTGAAATCCCCAAACTATGGGTGGACTTGCAAATGATCCCACTTACGGGCTCACCACACCTCAGTAAGTGGCACACACACACACACACACACACACACGCACACACACACACATACGCACACACACACACACACCAAGCTACCCATCAACCTGTCCCTTCATAGTTTCAATCACCTACCACTTGACCTGCGTGAAACACTGTACACCACCAGGGGCGAATCCAGGGGAGGGGTTCCACTGAACCCCCTAAATTTCATAAATGTACTACAGTCGGCCATATGCGTGTCCATGTACCAGTACATGTACCAGCTATTCAGTTTTGGCTATACTGGAACCCCCCTGTAGAGATCGCTGGATCCGCCGCTGACCACCTTAACTCCACCCCTCTGCAATGTGTTGGCTTCCTTACTTGCTAGATTTTATATGACTGTGGACTGATTTGAGTCAGAATTATCTTCCTTATTGGCCATGGTCCATCGTGGAAATAAAGAATACTACCGTATTTTCCGGAGTATAAGCCGCACCCCCCCCCCCCCCCCCATTTTTTTGCCACGAAATACAGACCTCTATCCTATTTATCACCGTTAATTTGATCATCGGAGTATGAGCCGCACCTCCTTTTTTTTTGGGTGAATTTTAAGCATTCAAAGTGCGCCTTATACTCTGGAAAATACGGTAATCAAATTCTTTTATCAGAAGACATTGCGAGTCACCTCGTGAGTCTGACCAGAACAAAATCAGGATCAGGAAAAAAGATGCTGATGAGTGCACAGGAAGGCCGAATGAGGCCAGAGACTGAGTTGTTATGTAATTGACAGTCTCCACACATGACACTAGATGGTCCTAGCTACAGTTGTACTGCTATTAGGTGAGATCCGGCCGATAGTGCTTATTTGGCACCCTCGATTTACCCATCCCTCTGACACACCGGAAGTGTTGTGAATGCTGAACACAGCCGTTGACGCACTGGACGTGTTGTGAATGCTGCATGACGTTGACGTACCCATCATGTACAACTACAGCGATGTGATATCGGAACTGGTCCACAATGCCAGCAGTTTGCACTTTGGGTCGCATTACATCTAGCGGAACTGTAGTACTTGAAGCACATGTATCAAGCTGCTGGTACTGCTGTTCTTGATTTGTTTTACAGAGAGCACACGAACACGTCAGGCTGGTTTTCCGACCCTTTGCTGGACGCCGATGCTGACGGTACATTTCCCATTGAAGCTGGCAGCACACAACCAGTATTCCTGAGTGTCAATGTCCCACGCAATGCTGCAGCTGGCACGTACATTGGTACAGTTCAGTTCACATTGCAAACACCTACTGCTAAGGTAGGTATGGGTTTTCTTCTTTAAAAAAATGCCATGCCACTCTTTGACCATTTGGTTGGGTCTCATCACTTCCCGCCATTCAAGGAGTTGCAGCTGTGTCAGTGCGTTTTATCCTTGTGTGTAGTTGTGTACCGTATTATTTCTTGGTTTTAATACCGTTGCTCTTTGACTACTGTGCATGAAATGTATGTACGTATGTTTGTGACACGTGCACACACGTATGCATAAGTGTTTGTGTATGCCCTTTGCTAACACGTGCTCTTGTAGGTATCTGACACAGTGCCGCTCAGCCTGCAGGTGTGGAACTTGACTGTACCTGACCTGGCTGACAGCTCCTTCACCTTGTCATTTTCCGTCGGCGGCATTGCAGGTATGTACCAGGTATGTGCATGCACCGGCAGATGAAATCCAACCTCATGGACAACCCGGAGGCGCGTTCACAGCACAGGCTGGTGTTGGTAGTGCTGTGGTCGTGTGTCCCCGGAGCAGTTGTCTTCATGAGGTTTGGATTTCGTATACCGCCACTATACATCATGTACATGCAGTGATCGGTCAGTTGGGTACGCGTCTCTGGCAGTGAGGGCAGCATGAATACATGTACTGTAGCTGGATTCAGTGGCGTAGGCCGCCTGGTTTATGGCATTCCCGGGAATCAAATAAATCTGCCAATTTTGTTACAAAACAATGTTTTTAGTGCTGTAAGGCCACACCGTTTTTTATCTATGGCTGTGTTTACATGAAGCGTTTCAACCCGGGTTGAGTTCGACCCGGGTCAGATTTCAACCCGCCATGTACACAAAATGAATTGCGCGTTTACATGACGCATGGCGCTTGACCCGGGTTGAAATTTCGCCCCGGGTTGATTTCAACCCTCCCCCCCCCCCCAAGGGGAGGGTTGAGATCAACCCGGGTCAAGAAAATCGTACAAACGTACTTCCATGCGTATCTCGCGCCAGGTTTGAACAGCACTGCAGATGCAAATTTCGCGCGAACGGATTCACGTGACCATACAGGACTGTAGAACTAGAAGTGGACTTTTGGCGGCATATCAGTATTTGACCCGGGTCAACTGTCTTCATGTAAACGCTCACCTCTTTTGTTTATCGTACAGACTCTCAACCCGGGCTGAACTCGACCCGGGTTGAAATTTCTCATGTAAACACAGCCTATGTTTCGCGTCCCCCGCGCGCATGTATTTCACAGCCGGAGTTAAAAAAAAAACGGAACATTTTTTTTTTAAATGCAATACAAATTTAATGCAAACCCAGAAAACCGGAAAATGTAACCCAAAAGGAAAAAAACCGGAACATGATTATTAAACACGTAACTATTATGTTGGCATCAATTAAATATTTGGTGAGGTGTGAAAAAAAAACTAAAGTGGGAGAGAAGACGAAAGAAATTAGAAGAAAAGATGTGAGAGTGTTCCGACGGTGTGAGCTACTACAAAAGGTGAGTGAAATGAAGGCGTGGAAGCAGGTGAATGTGATGGAGTGAGGAAGTGTGAGGTGTGGGTGTATGCGAATGAATACGTGTGTGAATGCTAGGTGAAGAGTCTCAGTTTTGTGACATTTTCTTTCTGAATGCATAGATTAGGATTGTGTTTACGGATGAAAACAGCTTCTAATATGCTGGGTGAGGATACAGTAGTGTTGGCCAGGCAAGTTTCCTTGTGCCCCGCAAGCCACTCGTCATACTTGGCTGCCGAAACAGTGCCATTCTTCTTCTTCGCTGACCATTGTGTGCAGGCTGAGCAGTGCCGAGACAAAATCTCAACATCCACAACTTTGTGGACGTCCCAGGCAATCGAAGTCTGGACACCATAGAGCGAGCTGAATCCCCTCTTCATCCAGGTACCATCTGTTGTGACTGCGATGTCTACCGGCTCACCTTCAGACTCACCACTTCTCAGTGCGTCGGCAACTGTGGCCATGCTGTGGTTGGCTACTTTCTTTGCTGCTGCATGGAGTGCATCCCTATGTTTCAGGAAAGCACTGCTGGCTACAGGAGGTGGAATGTCAAGGATTGCACAGATCTTGCACAGGGCTTCCCGCGATCTACCAATAAGACGCATGGCAAGCACGCTCTTCCTGTTGACCTCACAGAATTTCTTGCCCACAGGTGTCTCTGCCATTCGAGAAGTTGTCTCAGCTCCACAGTCATCACAGGACAAAGTCAAAGTCGTGGCTAGGCCAGATCTGCCTGACTCCACGAGCTGAAGACCCCCGTTGCAAACTGAGCACACACAGCTATCAGCGACCAGGGCTTGCAGTGATGGCAAATGGATTATTCGATTTCCTTGTGAGCCATGATCATCAGGCTGCTCCACATCATCTCCATCCTCATCAAACCCGTCTGCAGCACAGATAGCATCCGAATCACCACCATCATCATCGGAAACGGTCTCCAGTAGAAGTGGTGGAACGTCTTCAGGTAAACTGCGATCGCTCTCAGATTCAGAGTCACTCAATGGAATTTGGATATTCAAAGCAGGTGGAGCAGCGAATTGATTTCCCTTGAAAGCTCGCTTTCTGCCCTTGTAACGACGACTGCCCTTTCTCTTGTTGCCCATTGTCTCACTATGAAGTTATCGACAATGCTACAAAAACCAGCTGACAGTTCTGTCGTTCTAAAACTACAAGAAGGCCAACCGTCGTCCTCAACTTTCGAAAAATAGTGAAAAATCGTGATTTTGGAGAAAAAAAAGAGCAGCGCGTGGAAAATCTGGTCTTGTAACCATGGCAGTCAAAGCATTGTGTCTTTCTCCGCAGACGGTGCGAGTTTGAGCGAAATCCAGCACTATTTTGATGTTTCATCATAATTTCCTAAAATTTGATGTTTTTCAAATTTTGGTATTCAATAACAATTGCATAGCGCAACTTCAATGCTCCATAACTTCGGACTGGTGCAACCGATTGACCTCAAATTTTCACAGAGCATCCTTCAGGCCACATACAATCATAAACCAGCAACAAAATCCACTTCGGGGAGATTTGGATTTTTTAGCATTTTTGGGTGATGTGCCACCTTCACGAAACCTACGAGCACGGCACAAAACAGTGAAGCATGAATCGTCATACACTGAGCGGCATTAGCTACTAGACAAGAGGTGTTTCTTAATTGCTGACCCTTTCGTTGTGCTCTCACCTTCAGTCCGGTCATCTTCAACTTCATTTCACTCACCTTTTGTAGTAGCTCACACCGTCGGAACACTCTCACATCTTTTCTTCTAATTTCTTTCGTCTTCTCTCCCACTTTAGTTTTTTTTTTTTTCTCACCTCACCTTGTATACTTCCCACTATCCTATATCCTATAAGTAATTAAATATTTGTTCTATTTATCGCATGATTGTACTCAGCTCACACACGTACATGTATGTGTAATAAACTGGGCCGCAAGTCACACAATCATCATGCCGCCTGTGTTTGGACCACAAGCATGGCAGAGCTGGATACACTCATGTATTCACGTACATGTCAATGTACATGAACAGTGCCGCGTCGCTTCACTGTACACAAATGCAATGCACGTACACTGTTTTTTTTTGGATGGCTTTTTTATTTTTTTCGCCCTCCCTCATTGATTTCATCGAATAAGGTGACGCGAAACATAGAAAAAACGGCGTGGCCTAAACTGATACCTGGCATGCAGAATCTAGATAGTCGGGAACCACATCAAACGGACCCGGGCTATGCCTTCGTTCTACATGCCACCACATGGCCGGTGATAATGCGGAGATGCTGACTTACTTTCTTTTTTACCTCTAGTAAAAGTATTAAAAATGAAACCAAGCTATAGGATATCAATCGGAGAGGGGGTCAAATTAGAGTCCGACCTTGTTGACTAATCAGCTTTCGCTGCACAGATTGACTGAAAACCTTCCATTGCTTTGATCATAGTGTGAAATCGTGACAGCGATACCGTGTGTCATAAAGCCTTTCCAACTGGAGGGAACTTACTACACGTATAGCACTTCCAACACTCACTTGTGTGTGTGTGTGTGTGTGTGTGTGTGTGTGTGTGTGTGTGTGTGTGTGTGTGTGTGTGTGTGTGTGTGTGTGTGTGCCTGACTGAAAGGTCGCTACTACAATGGCAGTGCGTCCGTCCAGCAGCAGTTCTACGACATGCTTACAGACTACCGAATGCCGCCCGACCGTTTGTACCGACACACTCCTATCTTGCCAGACGAAGCTGACTACTTGGTCCACACGGGCACAAGGTGGTTCAACCTTCTTGACCTGGAAATGGTCGTTGCTCTTCTCCTGGATAATATTGACTTGGAGCTTAAGGATTTGCTGGAGCACGATCAGTTTGGAGAGCGTAAGTGACTTAATACTTTGCTCTGCATCTAGTCTAGGTCTCCAGGTCGGTTGCTTGAACGCACAGGAAGACATTTTTTTCCAAAGGTACTCGAGCCGGCAGTATGTACATGTAAGATTTACGCTGAAATAAGGACAGCTTGACTAGTGTTGCTGCTACTTAAAATTTCATGCCGAAAGCAATCATCAGTCCGCTGCCTGATGCTTGACTTCGGCATGCAACTCTATGTAGCAACAACATTTGTCAAGTTGTAATGCTTTGCTACCATGGGTATAGAGTATTCTGCACAGATAAGAAAATACAATATTTATGTGCTCACGCTAAGTTGCCATATACAGTCAGACCTCGCTTATCCGGGCCTCTTTTATCCGGATCCCTCGCCATCCGGAAGAAAATAGCTGGTTACAGATTTACAGCATACCTGGTGCATCCAAAATAACCGGTGTTTTGGTTATCCGGTTCCCTCGCCTATCCGGATATTTTTTTGTGGAAAACGGATGTGTGCGGTTAAGCGAGGTCTGACTGTACTTGCAAAAAGTGCTGGATACCACGAGGACAAAGCCAAGTGACACAACTCAGCACTGGAACAAGGCTCGTTATGTGCTGTTACTCTGAGTTTCAGGGTTATTCACCAATGTTCAGACAACAGCAATGACTTGTGTCAAGGTTTGTGTGTATATTAGACTATATTTATATAGCAGACTCAGCGGAGGACGTTCAGGTTGGTTGTAACTCTGAGTTTCATGCCGTTAGGCAATCATCAGACAACTGATACTTGGGTCTACCCAACAGTATGCTTATAAACACATAGGGCCACAAGCATAAACAAATTTAGCGCTAAATCTGGTGTAAGGTATGGGGAGAAAAGCTGGCGCGGGCCACGGCGCGACAGTAGAAGTGCCAGGAGGGTGGCGGGCAACAGGTAGGTGTGAGCATGAAAGCGCGGAAAGAGGCGATGGGGAGGCAGTGTACAGCAGATGGGTGGAGGTGCCAGGAGGATTTCGGGCAATGGGCCAGTGAGATCGCTAGGATTTAGCGCAGATTTAGCGCTAAATTTGTTTATGCTTGTGGCCCTATGTGTTTATAAGCATACTGTTGGGTAGACCCGAGTATCAGTTGTCTGATGATTGCCTAACGGCATGAAACTCAGAGTTACAACCAACCTGAACGTCCTCCGCTGAGTCTGCTATGTACTAAGCTCTGTCTCTGACATTGAGCACTCTCTGCAGCTCGGGGATCAACGGATTTGACTATATTTATAATATTATGTTGTTCCTCTGTCTTTGTGCTTCCTAGGTCAGCGTTCCCTGCAGTGGAGTGGAAAATGCTCTATCCATGGGAACGTAAGCAATGAAGTAATGGAGAAGGCATTGACAATACTGGAGCCTTTAGTCGAGCGTGCCGAAGCCATGGGCTACGCGAATCGAACATACATCTACGGGTTTGACGAGTCCCCACTGACCTGCTTGCCTGCCATTCGCCAGGTGTTCGGTGGAGCCAAGGCCCGTTGGCCTCATGTGCACACAACAGCTGTGTTGAACTGGTGAGTAGCAAACCACTTTTGCTAGCACTCCGTGTGTGTGTGTGTGTGTGTGTGTGTGTGTGTGTGTGTGTGTGTGTGTGTGTGTGTGTGTGTGTGTGTGTGTGTGTGTGTGTGTGTGTGTGTGTGTGTGTGTTGACTGTCTTCTTGGGGGACAGTTTGAATTTTTCTAGCTCCGGAATTTTTCTATTTGCTGAGACTAGTTAGAGCCTCCGAAGCAGCGTAGGTACACTCAGGGCTCTCCTAGCTTGCTAGGAGAGCCCCTGGCGTGTCAAGTGTAGACCTTTTGAATTTAGGGCAGCGGATCCAACGACGTGACTTACAGGACAATTATTTGAATTTGATATTGTCACTGTCGCGTCGTCCGTAGTCCTCCATCCGCAGTGGGCTAGCTACCCCTCGGATGTGTAGAGTTTCAGCTTCAAAGCAGCCAGAGTTTGGAGGCACCCGTCGGAGGCGCCCAGCTGGTGCTCTTGTCAAATTTGCTTCGTGGAACGTCAGGACTTTAGTGAACATCGATGGCCCGGTTTCAACTGCTGCTCGTGGAAAGCGCGTCGTGGAAGACAAGAAAATCAACATCGTTGTCAGTGAACTTCGTCGGTACGAAATAGAAGTGGCTGGATTCCAGGAGTCGAAGTGGTTTGGTAAAGATATATTCCGTGTCGAGGATGCAATTGTTCTCACGTCAGGTCGCGCCATCCCAACGGACGATTTCAAACGAGGCGAAGGAGTTGGAGTCGTACTACGCGGACGCGCACAGCAAGCGTTCGTAGCAGGGGGAAATCAGTGGTCTGCTGTCTCATCGCGTGTCGCACGCTGCAAGCTAAAGTTCGGTGACATTTGGGTCCACGTCGTGGTGTGCTACGCACCGACTTTCCGGTCCAGTCGCGATGCAAAGAACGATTTCTTTGACTCTCTTCAGGAAGTTATTCTGTCCGTACCCACCCAGGACTCCTTGATAATCTTGGGAGACTTCAACGCTAGAGTTGGAGCTGAATCTGTGACGATGGCTGGTATGGAACACGTGGCCCACATGGTGTTGGCACTGTCAATGAGGCTGGCGCTGAGCTTCTCCAGTTTTTAGCGTGCAACAGCCTTACTGTGTGCAACACCTGGTTCATGAAACGTAACATCCACAAGTGTACCTGGCAACATCCCCGCTCGAAGCGGTGGCACTGCATCGACTATGCAATGGTCCGGGAACAAGACCTGTCCAACTGCACGGATTGCCATGTCATCAGGGGAGCTGAGTGTAGTACAGATCACAACCTTGTGTGTCTCACATACCGCATCCGCTCATCTGCTTGCCACAAGCGTGCAAAAAGACCTGTCAAGTTTGATGTGCAACAACTTGTCAAACACTCCTGCATGACGGAAGCGCAGAGAGCTGCAACCTGTAAAACTCGTGAGCAATATGCGACGTCTGTTGCGTCAGAGTTACGATCCTGGAATCATGATGGCTGCGTTGAGGACAAATGGTCTGCCGTCAAATCTGCTATCGTCACCAGCGCTGAGAAGCATCTTGGCCGTCCACGTCGTCGCCAGCCTGATTGGTTTGAAGCGTGTGCTGATGTTCTTGCACCTATGCTGGATAGCCGCAATGCCTTACATCGCAAATGGCTCGCCTCTGGTTCTGACGCTGACAGGCGTCGCTTTGTCGAGGCTCGTGGCAAGTGCAGAACTGCCGTGCGTAACGCAAAGAGTGAGTGGATTGGACGTAAAGCTAATGTGGTTGAGTCAAGTCGGTTTAGTGGCAAGCACGCATGGTCTGCAATCCGTGATATACAGAAGTGCTATTCGGGATTATCACCTATCTCCATCCCATCCATCCGTGACAGTGACGGAGTTATCTGTAGCTCCCAGGAGGGGCAAGAGAAATGCTGGCTGCAGCATTTTGCCCGTCTATTGAACGTTCGCAGCACCTTCGATGCTACCATCTTTGACCACATTGAGCAGCGTGAAGTTGATGAGTCACTCGGCCAACTTCCCTCGCTAGAGGACCTCACTATGGCTATACGCCAGCTGGCTAATTGCAAGGCTCCTGGCTCATCTGGAATTGCACCTGAACTGCTTAAAGCTGGTGGTACACCATTGCTTGAGGCTCTGCTTGATGTTATTCACACTGCATGGACCAACGGAACGGTTCCCCAGGATTGGCGGGATGCCCAACTCGTCCCGATTCCCAAAAAGGGTGACTTGACCAACTGCAACAACTGGCGCGGCATTGCCCTCCTAGATGTCGCTGGCAAGGTTTGTGGCCGTCTCATTCAGGACCGTCTCCAACTTGTCGCGGAACAAGAACTTCCAGAATCCCAGTGTGGCTTTCGCCCTGGTCGCGGCTGCGCTGATGCCATCTTTTCCATTCGCCAGCTCATCGAGAAATCGTACGAGCACCGTCAGAAGCTGTTCTGTGTCTTCGTAGACCTGAAGAAAGCATATGATTCCGTACCACGCCAAGCACTCTGGCTAGCATTGGGGAGGCTAGGCATTCCTGAAGGGCTCCTCAATCTAATCCAATCGTTCCACGAGAGCATGCAGGCAGCTGTGCGCGTCGGTGCCAGCACTACCGAGCCGTTTGCGGTCAACAATGGCCTCCGTCAAGGCTGTGTGATGGCCCCAGTACTTTTTAATCTGTACTTCGGTGTTGTGCTTGAGCGGTGGGCACAAGTGATGCAGGACAGCGACCATCCACCTGGCATCCCCATCCAATTTAGCATCAATGGCAACCTTTTCTCAAAGCCCGCTCGCCAGTCTACTGCCGCAATCATCAACGACATTGAGTACGCAGATGACGCGGTCTTGCTCGCTGAAGACCGCCCTGGTGCTGAGAAGTGCCTTGAAACATTCTGCACGGTTGCCTCTTCCTTTGGCCTCTGCGTCAACGCTGCTAAAACGAAATTTCTCGTGGCAGGTAGCCAAGTCAACATGCCTGATAGAGCCGATATGAACGTCAACAGTGATACTGTGGAGCACGTTCCATCCTTCATTTATCTGGGGTCCGTCGTGACACCGGATGCCCGCTCCTCTACTGACGTAAGTCGCCGCATAGCTGAGGCTTCCAAAGCCTTTGGAGCTCTTCTTCCAGTCTTGTCGGATCGCTCGCTGTCATTAGTCAGTAAGCGAAAGCTATACGTGGCCTGTGTCTTGTCCATTTTGCTGTACGGCAGTGAGTGCTGGACGCCCTTGAAAGCTGATAGTAGACGTTTGGATGCCTTTCATCATCGCTGCATCCGCACAATATTAGCCATCCCTCGCAGTCAGCAGCAATCCGATCGCATCACGTCTGCGCAGTTACGTCGTCACTGGGGTGACCCAGTGCCACTCTCTGTTAAGATGCGCCATCGTCGTTTAGAGTGGCTTGGTCATGTGGCTCGGATGTCGGAGGACCGTGTCCCATTGCAGCTGTTGTTTGGTCGTTTGTTGGCTGCGCGCCCCTTCTGCGGTCCCAGGCGTAGGTGGAGAGACGTTGTGGCTACTGACACGAAGTCCATTCCAAACTGGTTTGATTGCGCACAAGACCGGTCAGCTTGGCGAGAGCAGGTTCTGGTTTTTCAGCCTCCTCGGGCAGTAGAGAAATCCGTACTCTGCTCATCTTGCAACCGGGCTTTCTCTCGTCCTCAAGACAAGGCACGGCACAAGTGTTTGGCTGAGCGCCAACTTCCCGTCCACCAACAGCGTGGTTCAGCACAGTGCGTCAGTTGCTGCCGATGGTTCCGTAGTAAGGGTGGGCTTGCAGTTCATCGCTGCCAGCCTGCACTCCCTGAACATGCAGATACGGCATTGACGGCGTCTCTCGCTAGTTGCTGCTTCCAGCATTGTCAACGCTGCAATCGCTGCTTCAAGTCCCGGGCTGGTTTTAACCGCCATAACTGCAACCGTGGAAAACGTCTTGCTGCAGCCGATAGGGAATCACTGCCGCTGATCTGCATGCATTGCCCGAAACGTTTCCGACGACAGCAAGATTTGACGAGGCACCAGAAGTCCTGCCAATGACGGTGCACTCCAAACTCTGGCCCCCTCCGGGGGTGACATTGCCCAATGGGCAGTCATGCTATAGTAGTAGTAGTGTGTGTGTGTGTGTGTGTGTGTGTGTGTGTGTGTGTGTGTGTGTCTTCTCTTTCTCAGACTCTTCCTGACTTTTCTTTCATTCTCCTGGGTGGTTACCAACAGCCAGTGCATGCCGGAGTATGTGGTGTGATGTGTGTGCGGGATAAAAATAAAAAAGACCAAAAAGTAGGGATTCACTGGCCAGAAAAAGCCACTTCATAGCTGTGTGGTGTAGACCAGGCTGAATAGTGGCGGCCAATTCTTCAGCCTTGCAAGCTATTGAATGGTGCAATCCCAGCACAAGTTGCTATGGCTTCTGCTGTAGCATCGCTATCATCGCCTCTGGCGATGGGCGTCCAATGGTCCAATGGTGTGTGTGTGTACATGCGTCCCTGTGTGTGTGTGTGCCTGTGTGTGTCTGTGTGTTTGTGTGTGTGTGTCTGAGGTCTGAGGTGTGTGTCTGTGTGTATGTGTGTACGTGTCTGTGTGTTTGTGTACCTGTGTGTGCTGACTTGAGAAGCTCTACTGTTTTTCCCTTGATTGTGCTATACAGGGAAAGCATTCCTGCTGATATCCCTGTTGATACATGGGTATTTTCATACTACATGTGGGATCCATCACCGACTAGCACAGTGCGAGCGGCTGCCGAGCAGTTTCTGAAGAATCGGCCCGATCGGCGAATCTCCTTCTACCATGCGGTGGATCCAGCAGCCCCAGCCAGGCTGGTAAGTGTGTACGCAGTAAGCATGTTTGGGTACAGTACCTATCGCATAATTATCGCATTGGTTGTTGGATGATAAGATTTACTTACTTTATTGATATGAAGAGTACATAAACCAGAGTGCGTAACTCTGCTTATGGGTTCTGGACAGTGGAATCGGTCGCTTACGTATTTTTGCTGAGCCTTGGTTGTATAAGTCTGTATGTCACTCTCTGTGTACATGCGGTGTCTCTTGAAACAGAATTCCTTCATCGATCGGCCACCTCTCGAGCCCAGGCTGATGTTCTGGGATGCAGCTGTTACATCTCCCGTTGTGTCCGGCTGGCTCTACTATGCAGTGAACGCCTGGAACATCACAAACGGTTCAACAGTGTATGTTACACGTGTGAACAACAGTGCAAGGTGAGTGTTGTTGCCTGCCCTGTGCACAGTGCACTCAGCATGACTAAGCTTTGAACACAGCTGTCATCCTGGCTATTGACCTTCCCAGGCAGCCTCGCTCTTCTTGACCAGTGCCAGCCCTGAAAACACTTGAACAAGCTAACCTGTCACTGCGTTTCCGTCTGTTGTGTTAATTCACCATGCTAGCACATCCCATTCCCGCCCCGTACCCGAGGACTGATGTCAGCTACATAATATTTTATTCAGTGTATTGAATGTCCTGCAGTGTGCATGTCACTTGGAGTATGTAACATTATTGTATGGCGCAATGTGTATTGGTGCCTGCAGGAGTGATTTTAATGTATGGCGCAATGTGTATTGGTGCCTGCAGGAGTGATTTTAATGTGGCTCGTGACTTTGGTAGTGATACCGACATAGCCAATGGCGATGGGGTCTTCATCTACCCTGGCCAGCACGGTCCTGTGCCAAGCATAAGGATGGAAGCATTCAGAGATGGTGCAGAAGATGTTGAGCTTCTCCGGTAAGTTAGTTAGTGGGACTGCTACCAGCTTGAGTCACGATATGCTTCAACTTTCAACATTGCATACTTTCTGGAAGAACTGAAAGACATTGCCGTGCCGTATCTGGGTAGCATATAGGAGACCTTTCTCATCTCGTGACAACTGCTGTGCAAGACAGGAAGCTGCCTCGTATATACCGGTAGTGCTCATAGTCTGAAGTCAGGTTTCACAACTTGAACGTACTCTTCATCCAAAGTGCTCATGGTAATCCGTAATAGGAGCGCTACCTACGTGGAAAATCCGAACACTATGCAGGAGACAATGAAAATGTCTGACCTCAACAAGATGGAAGATGGATTTGGGCTACAGTCCATCTATCCCAAACTGGCACCCTCACTTCTTGGTGTCTAGCATGCATAGTTGTAGAAGTGAAAACAACTGTACGCCCTGCTGCATTGTGTGACCCGTGCAATTCTTCATTGCTGCATCTGAGGCTGGAAAAGTAAAGGAATGGAGGTTAGATGTCGGCTAGGTTTTGCAAAGTAAGATACGAATAGGACTGGCATATCATGGCAAAATGTATCGAGAAGCAGGAAGTTAAAGTGAGTTTTACTTTTAGAGCCTTAATTCGGCCAAAATCGGGCTTCCAATAGGCAGCAGGGCTATTCTGCTTGCTCCTTTGCAGCGTTGGTAGTCAGACCAGTCACCTTTACTGAGGGGCCTGCTTGGCACCGCTTATCGCAAACTTGCTGCGAATTGTATGCGAACACGGATTGTGCATAAGATTCTTGTGGGAAAGGATTTCCTGCAGAAGAGCAGCAGCATTCTGCACTGGAGAAAACTTCCTTGTGGCACACTTCGGGGAGTCCACTATCACAACAAAACAAACTTAAGAGATAGAAAAGAGGAACATAAAACTGCACTCCACCCAGCTAAGAAAACAGGGAACGTAAGGAGGATCTTGAATGTCAAGGTCTAAGCGACAGGTTCTTTTTGGAAAGTCTGATCTCCTGCAAAATCGTGAGCCCTGCACTCCGAGCAGCTGATCAATGTAGAGGTATGCATGTGGAAATGTGGCTTTTGCAGAGAGCCCTTGCAGATCCCGGGCTCAAACCCAGGTAACCGATGGGGGTTCGTTTTGTGCCTGTGTGTCATATGTGAACATTCTCTACATGTCCCTCCTGCTTTCTTTTAATTTAATATATTAAACAAGTGTATGATGCTTGATCGGGTAACTGATTGAATGTTGCTTGATGCCGAACCATTACTAAGCCTACTTGTTTGGATGAAAAGGATCTCTCATTCTCATCTATATACCCTTGGTTCGCCATCTGTATTCAACTGTTCATACTAACATTTACTTGTTGAATGTGTTGCTGTGTTGTACACTCGCCCTGTGATTCTTTCTACCTACTAGACTAATCTCTGCGGAGAAAGCCCAACCTCTGGTTAGTTTGTTGATAAGAGCGTCTAATGATTTCACACTGGACCCCGTGCTCTTGGAGGAGGTCCGGCAGGAAGCAGCTAGGCTTGCCCTCTCATCATAGATACTTCAACTGGTCAATCTGGCAGTGTGCGACACAGCGTGCCAGGGCTGTTGCTCTGTGACCCACCTTCACTCAATCACCAGACGTACTGGCGTAGCACGGGATTATTGGATTCAGTGCTAGTTCATAATCTTAATTTATTTTACTCTTGAAATGGTTTGCTATGGCCACTCTAAAACTCTTGCACCTAGTGACTAAATAGAGCATTTTCAATATCCTTGAGTTGATCCCTGCACGTAGCTGCATGTAATTTATTTCACTTTAAAGGGGAAGTTAAGGCAAAAAATAAAATTTCACCAGTTGTAGTCTTCGGGGTGCTGAGTCGAATGGTCTTGGTCCGAGAAAGCTGAGACGCTCCCTTCCTACTTGAATCCCAATCGAACTCGCGCACTTCCACCGAAACTGGGTGACTGCGCCCTACGAGATGGGGATTTGTATGCAAAATGTCACTAAAAGCGCCATTTCGTTCTTATAAAAGCACGGATGACCGCGATTGGCCCATATGTTGTAGTCTTTTGGACGCTGAGTCGACTGGTTTTGGTCCAAAAAGGCTGCGATGCAGCGTTCGCCCCTAATTCCCAATCGAACATGGTTGAACAAGCGGTCACGTGCTCCTGCGTACACCAGTCACCTGGTCACCGTGCCTGCAGGGTACAACTTACAGCCTGTTTTGACCTTTTTTGGGTGCAGTCCTGTCACTCGAGTTGAACCTTGGTGTGAAAGTTGTCGCCTGCTGGCGTGGTGACCAGGTGATTTTGGCACCCAGGAGCACGTGACTGCTTCTTCAACCATGTTCGATTGGGAATAAAGGAGGAACGCTGCATCGCAGCCTTTTCGGACCAAAACCAGTCGACTCAGCGTCCAAAAGACTACAACATATGGGCCAATCGCGGTCATCCGCGCTTTTATAAGAACGAAATGGCGCTTTTAGTGACATTTTGCATACAAATCCCCATCTAGTAGGGCGCAGTCACCCAGTTTCGGTGGAAGTGCGCGAGTTCGATTGGGATTCAAGTAGGAAGGGAGCGTCTCAGCTTCCTCGGACCAAGACCATTCGACTGAGCACCCCGAAGACTACAACTGGTGAAATTTTAATTTTTGCCTTAACTTCCCCTTTAAGGACAGACAACTTTTAAAACAATTTAAAAAATAGTACAATTTTCCAGCCAGGAGAAATATACGTCTAATTTCGATCAATTTAGTTCAAAAGTGACCCCACCACACCACCCTCCATTCTAGATTGGTCTATTGAAAAAAAAATGTTTTACCAGTTTGCAATGCAGCCTTATCGAAGATTGAAACCATAGTGACTTCAGAATAGTATACTAGTACAGTGCAGTACTGCCTGCAGCTCCATGTACTTCAAAGTACATTAACTGTTGTTCCACATGAAATCTAATCCAAAAATAAATTACAACTTCTTTTGCGTCGACTTGCACGTGAGCTGCACCATGTTTCATTTTTCGTTTTGGCAGGCATCGAAGGTTTCACCCAGGGACCCTTTTACGGCTCCCTGGTTTTACCCTCCGATGAGAGGGCAATCTGTATTAGCTGTACCAAGAGTACAGTCACAGGGAGTCACTAAAACCGTTTTTAGTACTCCCTGGTAACCAGTACAGTGACCAGTGTGGCAAGTGCATTTGCGACATGACTGTGCAACAACAGTATGTTGTGGTTGCATTCTTTTTTCTCATTTGTTTTGGGTACACTCGGCCAAGTGTACATAACAGTCATGTACTCCTGGCTGTACCCATAACCATGATAACGAAGTAAGAAAAAGAATGCAACAACATACCAGGAATAAAAAGCATATCATAGTGCACAGGCAGAACATTTAGTCGGTCCGCACTACTTTCGTCCAACTCCAAGGAAAGGGGGTTCGTCCGGTTGAAAATTTAGTCCGTAGACCGTAAGAAATTACTACTACTACTAAGAATGTACACTGTGTGTATTGAAAACAACAGTGTTACCCGGCAGCAGGGAGTTGTACAATCACGTGATTACAGGCCCTGATTACCAGGTGCATGTAGTCTTGTCAGTCTTGATTCTATTACATAATTATACAGTCAGACCTCGCTTATCCGGATCCCTCACCATCCGGAAGAAAATTGTTGGTTGCCGATTTAAAGCCATAATATATGTATGTCGTGCATACACACAGTATGTGCAAGAGTAGATAAACAAAACCGGTTTATCTACTCTTGGTATGTGTGCCGGTTCGATGATCCGGCTCCCTCGCCTAGCTGTTATCTGGATATTTTTTGTGGAACTTAAACGGATGTGTGAGGTTATGGGAGGTCTGACTGTACATGGTACATGTACCGGTGCAGTATAATACAAGACTATAATAAAATTAATATTAATAAGCCCCCCGCACTGGCCCGCAGCTAGATCAGGGAGGTTATCATGACATACATGACAGTAACATGTTTTTCGATTTTGACAGCATGTTACAAGGCGAGGACGCGTAGTGCTCCTGACTACAACCATAACCCGGTTGGTCCTCGCCTTGTTAATTTAATTGTAACATGCTGTCAAAATAGAAAAACCAAGCAAGGCTTCTGTATATACCATGAGTAACACTCTTGATACATGTACACGTCACAGGAAGCAGGGCGCACATCGCACAGACTCAGTCATGTAAAAAAATGTTGCAGTTCTTGCATGCATGCACACAGCTAGTACGAGCACAGTCGGTCATCGAAATCAGCACAGACAGTGCAGTGTGTACCAGGCCAGGGAGCAAGAATCTCAGCTTGAGGCTTACATTATTATTATTATTATCTGTCAAGTGTCATTAATGACATTGTACATGATCATCACCATGATCACCGCGGCGCGTGCGCTCGATCTAATCATTGATTGTCTTTATTTTTATGTTTTGCCCGTACAAGAGGCATGGTAAAAAAGAAAGAAAAAAGTGTGTACCAGGGAGTCGTAAAAGAACGACTCCCTGGTGTGTATCATGTACGCGCGTACGCTTTTGCTCTAAAAAGTGCTACACTTGTGAATGACGTCGCTTTTTATCAACACGCATGCGCACAGTGTGAAATGAGCCGTCGCGCGCACCTCGCTACGCAAAACGACCGTTTGGCAAACGTTCGTTTTGTTCATGCATGCATGCAAGACTGCCAAGAGCTAGAGAAAGAAAGACTTTCGTTCGCACAAGGAAACCTTTTTTGCCGACTTCCAAGTGCATTGTGCTAGTAGGATATTTCTAACTACAGGCCAGTGAAAGGAGGAAACGGAGTGGGAGAAGCCAGGACATATTCTAGTTTTACTAGTCTCTGCTATTTATTCAGTGAATATCGGGCTCAATGGGATCCGACGGAAAGCCCCTGAAGGTTGCCCTTACTTTGGAGAATTGTATACTGCCAGATGACCGTTTACAACAGACACCTTCTCAGAAAGATGGGCTTTCTACCGATGATGAAATGGACATTCGTCTTATTAGTTGTGAAATGATTCAGCATGCGGGTGTTCTGCTACGGTTACCGCAGGTGAGTTTTGCTATTGTTAGTTTTTTTTGGGATAATTTCAGCATTTGAAATTACAGTAGAATACTAGTACAGGTCCTCCCTCGTTAGTAGATAATATCTGGGCCATCAAAAAAGTTATCTTGTAACAGGACTTGCAGCTAAAGGTGAAATAGGCACTGATTCGTACTTACCTGGGCTACCTGCGATACAGTTGACCTACCCTTATAACGATATTTGCGTCACACGGCTGTTCACGTGCAGGCACTTATCAATATGGCGTCGTTCGGTGCGATTTATGTAATATTGTGCGAATATTACAAATACGCGATGAGTTTGCGTTTTTGCAAGAAACTCACGTCGATCCTCGCGTGGTTCCACGATTTGGGACGCGAAACCAAGAGAAAAGTTTTGAAAGCGCTCGAGCGAGATACTCGACTTTTCGGCAATTTGAGAGAGAAAGAGGGTGGAAAGGCGTCCTGGCCTGCCCAGTTAGCTGTCTTTCCGCTTCAAACTTGCTCGAAGTACTCCTGGCAGTCTGGAGATTGATCTCGCCAGTGATTGTCAGCCTCTGCTTGGCGTGCTCGCGTGTACAACATTCAAGTTAGACATTTCGTAATCGTTCAACGCACAATAGGGTAGATATCACAATTTCAAGCTCACTTGGCCGGCTGCTGTCTTCTTCTACAATATCCCATATGCCGACTAAGCAATTTACAGCAGGAAGCAGCCTTCTACACTCAACAGCAACTACAGGGCCACACCATTTTGTCTTCGAAATCAAGAGAAAACAGGCTCCTGACTCGTCGCGCGTATTTAGAAGTTCACGCGCGTATTCTAATGACACTTGGGGAAGACAACCAGAGGATAGTCCTCTACCTGGGAAAAAATCGATCTAAGCTGGGAAAAAATCGGGAAGGGCTTCTCGGAGCCGAGTTTGTCAGCGACGACACAAGGAGTATTCCAGAACGAAGCCAAAGTCGCACGACCCAGAACAAATGTTTCTTGAAGGAAAGGCAGTCATGTGAGGTACGAGCGGAAAGCTTGAAACGAGACGCAGATGATCAGCGTGTTCCCCGGGCTGTCCGGGCTGACTAGTCTCCAAAATCCAGTGGAAACCATGGCCTACTCGTGTTCTGACGATTTGAAAATTCAAATTTTCTTGCCATTGAAGCCCAATCGAGACTTTCGGCGGCCATATTGTTAAGTGGCGTGAAATCGCACAAAAAAAACAGCCGTGGTCACACCAAGAAATATTGTTATAACTAATATAAGGGTAATATTGTTATGGGTAACTGGCTCATTTCATACACATACGTCATAATTCATAGATTTTGTTCATTTTTTACACTCTTCATAGCATAAAAACTGGCGTAGATACCCAGTATGTACACAGCAAGGTGCCCACTGGTGCCTCCATTGCATTTCGTCAAGTCCCACCGACTTATCAAGTGAAGCTTGCCCTACCTGGGTAGTGGGCTCTACATATTCCCTGCTAGATATTGTTATAAAATGGAAAATGTCGATTGGTCAGCCCATTTTATATCGTTATAGGGGTAATATCGTTGAAGCAATAATTATTGTTATAGAGGTAAGGCATTGTGTACACAAGTCAATGGAGTGATTTGGTTCGGCAGAAAAATATCGTTATAAGGGTAATATCGTTATAGAGGTTATCGTTATAAGGGTAGGTCGACTGTACCACATACATTATCGACGTTTCAACTAGTATTCATATAAATAAGATAAGTGAAATCTCCCATACCGTAAAAGCCCGTGTATAGGCCCTGGGCGTATAGGATAGCAGCCTCGATTTCCTGGGCGTTATTTTGGAACCGGGCGTATACTTGGAATAGGGATAGCAGTAAGTATTGGGTATCCGTACCTGTACATGTACTGGTGTTTCCGGCATACTTGGGCGTATACATGGGCATGCGCGCTATTTCGAAACAAAAGTGTTGACTTCCCTTGACTGGACGTGTACACGGAGGGTGGGCGTAATTTTGAGTGGGCGTATACAGGGGCTTTTACGGTATAGCTCTTCTTTGGATGCAAAAGATCGTATAATCTACGAATACATAGATATAATACGTTGTGCCTTTCTGCTTTATCCTATGTGTTTTGGTCTTGGTCCTGCATGGTCAATGTTATCTTATACTGAGGGTTTGGCACTCCAGGGACCTGGGCAAAGGGTCGTTATAACGAATTTCATGTGCTAACGAATTATGTTGTAACCGGACTTGTAAACAGTTATAGACCACGTTTCGCCAGGGGATTTCAGATTTCTATTTACTAACGGAGTTTATGTACTAACAGGACTTGTTATAACAAGGGAGGACCTGTAACATGAGAATTGCTTTGGTTCTTGCTTCATGGTTTCACGGTATTGGCGTTGTGAATAAACCCGTTCTCAAGTAGTAGTAACACGAGCATCCATCATGGCCTTCACTCTCTCCTTACAGGTTGCAATGGCTACAGCACAGGTCGTCTTTCAAAGATTTTTCTACAGGAAAAGTCTGGTGAAACATTCCTACGAGGTAAGGTGACAAAAATAATGTTGTCTTTGCAGACTTTTTTCTCCCTATCATCAATACCCATGAGTGTCTCATATCCGGACACCTTGGCACTGGCATTGCCCGTAGCTCAGGATAACTCATTTACCACGTGTCGTCTCATCTTGACCGTTTGTTTAAATGATGTTGGTTTCTGCACGAATTGTATGGGTAGAGCATAAAAAAAGAATGCACTCAGGAAAGTGTGTGCTGATCTGGCATTGACAACAGTTTCAATAGGTTTATGTACACGTACATGGAAGAAACTCATTCCAAATACATGTAGGTGGAAATTAAAACAATTGTCATGGCAACCAGTGCTGGAGGTGTCCGGTAGAGAGACCTACATTTGTACCCGTATCAAAGGTGTCTGGATAAGAACTGTTTACACGGAAAAGGCAGGGTTTTATAGTACATGTATGGCTATTGCCACACAGCCCCGACCTTGCACTCTGCTGAACAATGTAAAAAAAACGGTCAGATTTCTTTGGCGACAATGTGAAATACATAATACAGCTTTCTGAGGGGTCCGTGGTCCATAGGTACAGCTTGCTGTTTCCACTACTCACCTACCATGTATATGAGAGCGCAGGGCTTGTGTTTCTCACCCTACTCACATTAGCTGCTTTTGGCCTCAACTATGTTCCTATGGGGATTTCATGGGAACGTCACTAATGTGTCTTTATGTAGTGTGATACGGACTAGAGGTGTAGTTTGCCTTGGGGCTTATGGTCTTAGGTGGATATGGGCGTAGTGAAAATCAAGGTGGTTCATGCTGAGAAAACACTCGCTTTTATAAACATGTCCCTGTGCCCCCTTTCATTGCTTTTACAGTATTGAAATGAAGCCAGGAAAATGCTGTGGACTGACTCCCTTTAACCATGGCCCTGAGACACCTAAACACAGGTCTATTGCTTCATAAGAGCGAGTTACCTCCATCAGGTTATGGTTTTGTGTGAGCCTCGGAACAAGCTAGTTTGATAGCAAAAATGGTGTGCGGAAGCATCGTGAGCCGTGCTAAATCATGTATTGAGCTCTGCCATCACAAAGCAGGCGCGGAAATTGTCACCTTTGCTGCTGGTCTGGTTTAAAGTTACACTACAGCGGAATAATTCACTTGAACTTTTTCTACATTTGCTATCTTTGTTACGTTCACTTGTCTTTATTTAACATTTTCTCTGTATGAAAAGTAGTAGTGCGGTGCGATCTAACTTTTGGTGTTAATGGTTCTTCCTTGGTTGCTAGCACATAGCCATGGCCTGCCTCTTTATGGCTGCTAAAATTGAGGAGGCACCACGGAGAATACGAGACGTTATCAACGTTTTCCACCACATCAAACAGTTCAAAACTGGCAGGTAAGAGAACAATATGACTTGGAAGTTTTCGCATGTTTTGTCGTGTGTACTTTGCCCTTTCTTCTGGCAGATTGGATCCAAGTAGCAAGTACTATGCAATTAGTCTGCTATATTGGTGTGTTGTTGCCTGGTACACCACTGGGCAATAGCCAATCTGGCCGGATGCTTTGTGAATGTGCTCTCCTTCTTTTTCTGAATGTTCCATGTTACGAAAAGAATTGCTTTGTTATGTCGTTTTCTTCCGCAGCTGCTCAATGTCCCAAACTTAACTATGGGTGAGCAGTAATTCCTTCTGCTATCTGTACCGGAGAAAGAGCTCTGCTCCCGTGGAATGGCTATGCACGCCCACTGGGTGTGCACGTGGTTGGTCGGTGTGTGGTAAATCTGTGTTGTGCCTTGCGTTGTTACTTGCTAACCAAGTATCCTGATGCTGAGCCTTAGTGTAGGGAATCTGATATAGGACTAGGTCTTCGGTAGTGTTGCTTATCCTTAGCTCTCGTACTTTTTCACTAATCTTTAGCATTTAGACTTCCTTTTTGTTGCACAGTTATTGGTATTCCACTGAATTCTCCAGTTGGCCCCTACTGTAGTACACATTTCTATGGGTCTTGGTTCGTCTTGCAGTAGTCTGCTAGTATGGTATCGAGAATATCGGGTAGATGCCTTCCTTGGTAGGAGGTTGTAAGCCCAGCTTGTGAACATTTCAAGCTTTTGGTGTGTGGCCATTCAGGCCAGCATACTTAACACCTACTGCCAGTATGGTATTGTTGCTGCAGGTCCATCAGCATAACATCATGTTGCCCTTCTACTACTTGGAAGTACCTGTTCAAAACAATGAATGGCATGCAGTACTACTGAGCATCAACACCTCACCGTTCCTGTATCAGCCATATGTCGGCCAATACCATGGGTCCACCAGATTCTTGATGGATACACCTGCTGCCATCATTTGCCTCGCTGTGTTCCACTGTATGAAGGCGCTGGCCACGATCTGATGTTCTGCTATCTCCATTTGCACCTAAGTAACACTATGTGTGTACTGGTAATTGTTTTACCTGCCTATACTTAACTGGAGAACACTGGAGGTTTCAATATCACACCTGATGCAGTCAAATTGCTTCGTCAGCTGTTCACTGTTGTAAGGAGGGTTATACAGGTTTCTCTTTCCTTGTCGTTGTACCACCACAGACTGCGATGATATCAGCTGTCAGATTGCCCGCTTTCACCCAGGGAATAGTATTTCACAGCCTGTTCAACCCTACTGTGTAAGCAGTGGTGCCCCTGTTTCAAAGCCAGCTCTCTCTGCTGTGTAAGCAGTGGTGCCCCTGTTCAAAGCCAGCTCTCTCTACTGTGTAAGCAGTGGTGCCCCTGTTTCAAAGCCAGCTCTCTCTCTGCTGTGTAAGCAGTGGTGCCCCTGTTCAAAGCTAGCTCTCTCTGCTGTGTAAGCAGTGGTGCCCCTGTTCAAAGCCAGCTCTCTCTACTGTGTAAGCAGTGGTGCCCCTGTTCAAAGCCAGCTCTCTCTGCTGTGTAAGCAGTGGTGGCCCTGTTTCGAAGCCAGCTCAGCTGCACAGTGTTCTGCCACAGTAGTCCGGCGGAGGCAAGAAGTTCTCATCTTCAGTATGTAGTTACGTCTGGTCTGGAGTGATTCTGAGGAAGTGTTATGTCCTGTCTCTTTGCTGAGAGCTGAACACCATTAGTATAGTTCACATTGAGGCACCTGCAATGTGCCATCATTATGTGGTGCTAAACCCCCAACCATGGATGACCACAACTCCCGAGCATGAGCTTTGGTCTAGAAAGATGGCCCTAAGCCACTGGAGTACAAGGCCAAGATCTCTGCTGGCCGTGGGTGGTTAACTTGTTGCATCTAGTTCTATGGCCAGTTTTATCTGTTGATGCGCAGTTACACTTGCTGCTTGGTTATTTGAGTCTCGTTCGTTTCCGTGCAGTGTGGAGGTGATAGATTTCATCCCAGGATCTATTCCGTGAGCTGAACTTAAGGCCTTACTGCATCGCTGTTGTCTGGTGTCTCCAGTGGCGTTACATTCTGCAGGTGGAATGTTTCTGTTCACGGCTTACACTGGGAGCAGGTTGAACACTGATATTCTTTATGCTGCTCTTCTTATGCTGTAGATATTTCCATGCCCTCCTCTTCTTTGAAGAGTCCTTATAACACTACCTTTGACGTTGTGCTGTTCTTGCATTTGTTGTGTTCCATCTGTATAAGTGCTCAGTGTTTGGCTCAGGTTTTGGCTTCCAAGTACACATCTGCAATGGTCTTCACAGCTTCACCACATCTATTGCCATTCCACGGCTGCAGGCAGGTTTGGCATGTTGCAGCATTGCGAGCGTTGTTCGTTGTTTCTGTCTGTGTGCGTATGTGCCTTGTTTAGATCATTTGAGCCGATGTCGTACACTGGAAACTCATACTGGATAGCTAAGAATGGCATCATCACTGCTGAGCGACGTGTCCTGAAGGTTGGTGTTAATGTATTTGCCGTTCTTGGTCCCACATGTGTTCTGTCGGTGATTGCATTTTTCTTGAATCTTTCATAGCAAGATTTTTCTGTATCTCTTAATTTGCTGACCGAAAATCCTATATATAGGATTTGAAAATGTGTGCCTTTTATGCCGTTGTTATTGGTCATCACGACCAATAATAACGATATAATGGTTTTCATGGAAGTTGTTAATATGTTTGAGGCATGAATGTTTACATTTTAGATTCATAGGGCGATAATATTTCTGATGAATATTCATTTTCAGCAATAATTGGAAATTTGAGCATAATTGTTCAGCTGCTGTCATGAAAAGGACTAAAGCAGTGAATGTACAGAAGAACATTGCAGGTGTGGCACGGGGTGGTTTCATGACGACATATCGCACATGCCGTCATGAAACTACCAGTTTTAAGGATAAAACAAGGTCCAATAAAATCTCAAATCCTATATATAGGATTCGAAAAATAGGGCACAGGCCTTAGTAATATTGGGCAAGGAGATGAGCCTGAGATGGTAGTGTTTGAAAAAAATATCTTATTCAACTCTCGATATCTACTAAGACCTAGCAAGGAAGAATTGGTCACATACTTTTTGCTATTCTCATGCCACACCCATTTTGAGTTGAAAAATATGACCAAAATCCTATATATAGGATTTAGCAAATTAAGAGATAAATTACTGTAGCCGAGGGAGTTATGCTTTTGTCTTTTTCTTCCATTGCAGGAACTTGGCTTTTGTTGTCATGTCAAGCATCCACACAAGGTGAGCATTGTGTTTCCTCTTTATTTTGTGCTATTGCGGCTATTTGGTTGACCGCAGCAAGCTTGGTTTGGTCTCTTTCCTACTGTATGTCAAATTTTATATGCATGGATTTGATGGCATTCGCCGGAATAGTTCAATCATGCCGAAATCCCTCCTGTTTTGTTGTCTTTGCAGTTGATCACCACGTTCCTGCAGATCCTGGATCATGGCCGGCATGAGAAGCTTGTACAACTGGCATGGTTAGTAATACTGGAAATACTGTACTTCAGTAATTTCACACATTTGTGTTCCTGGCTGTTGCTTTGTATGGTATTTGTCTACTATTTGGCGGTGTTCTTGATGCGTGTGCCCTGTGATGCCTTTGTGCTTGTGGCTTCAGGAACTACATGAATGACAGCCTACGCTCTAATGTCTTTGTGCGCTTCCCGGTTGAGACTATAGCATGCGCATGTATACATTTGGCAGCGCTCAAGCTGAAGGTTGCCTTGCCAAGCAACCCTCCGTGGTACTGGGTGTTTGACACATCTCTGGAGGATATTCAGGTAAGATCAGTTGCATTGTATCACAAGCTCTCTTGCTATTTATTGTGACGTGTATGGATTTTGCACTCCAGCTTTCTTCCATCTAGAGAATTTGGTTGGGGTGGTTCCCCTGCATGAGATTTTTCCTCTAGTCACTTGATCAATTCGATGTAGTAAAACTCCATCTAATTCAAGCTACACAGCACCATTTGAGCTTATGATAATGTGGTTATGCTGTTATCTTGATGTGCTTGCAGATGATCAGCTTCACCATTCTCATGCTGTATGAAAGGAAACAGGTAAGTAGGCCAATTTAGACCCGTGATGTTAGTCACTGTTAGTGGCTATTGCCATCCCCCATTATGTTCTCCTTGGCCAAGTATGTGATTGATTGCTTATCGTCAGCGCCTGCCCCGAATTTTCAACCCGTTTGACTCGCAGGCTGGCTGGTGGACTTACACAATCATTAACGTTTTTGGGGGTTTGGCAAACTTCGTTTTGTTTACCTGTTCGATCTTCGTTCCCCAGCATCAGTGAGCATGTCTACTTCATTCTGTACATATGTAGCAGACGTAAAAAGCTCTCTGTTTTCCCACACGGGCCGTCCTGTTCTAGTACAATCATGTACATACACAGACAACGTGATGACTCACTAAAATAATGTTCGTGCACAGGTTTTTGTCTAGACCTGAGCCCACATTCGTCTCAACCTAGGCTGTTCTTGTTTTCTGTTTCAGCGTTCACTTGGCGATTTGGATGATGCCATTGCGAAAGCCAAGAAGTCTGTGTCTGCTGTAAGTATGATGGTGATGCCATTATAATGGCAATGTATGTATACGTCTGGAAAAGAAGTTAGGCTAGACACGCAAATAACTGTAAATAAGAAAGCATGCTGGTTTGCAGCATGTTTGGATGTCTAGGCTTCATAGTTGTCAGTGAAGCATTACATTGGAAGGTCATGAACAACTTGTGTGTGTGCCAAGTGTCTTCCTTCTCATCTCGATTACCGGTAAATCTCTTTATATACTTCCTAGTGACACTGTGTTGTGGCATGTGCCCCGCGAATGTGCAGGAGTTGGTAATAGCAGTGGTCTGGTCAACTATGAGGCTGCTTTTAGGTGCTGTAATTCTTTCTAACCTTTGCTTTCCCTTCTTCTTTCTTGTAGAACTCGAGTGCATCGAACGTCAACTCGCCGGCAATGACTCTCTTAGCACCGTCCCCAGCCCCGCCAGAGTCTGTGGCTTCTAGCACCAACTCACCAGCTCTAGCCCGTGCCTCCTCGTCAGCGCACAAGCACAGTAGCAGCCTTGCAACGAATCGCACCGACTCGCCCATGCCCAATGGAAATGGCAGTGGAACTGCTCATTCTTCAACTTTGCCTTCATCGCCGAAGAGTAAGTACTGAAGGGATCAATATTCCAAAAAGGTGCATGTTCTACCACAGTGAAACCCGGATATAGCATAGTAATGCTTGCCGTGACATGCACTGCAGCACTTGCTTCCAGGGTAGTGTTGGGGAGTCGGTCACGGCTATTATCCTTTGACTTGTGAATGCTGCATTATTGACATCCTGACTGTTGTGGCAAAACAAGTTCTGTAATGGCAGTGTATATTTCCCTTTTCATTCCCTCGAATCTACCGTATGAGGCTTTGTATTTTTAATCTCTTTTTCCTGGGTTCGGTCCGCGCATCTTTACAGTTTATGGCCCCTTGCCTCTGTTGTGGCTGCTGTAGCTGTAATCATGCACGGCTGATACTGACGGCACTGCTTTGTTTGTCATTCGCTTCTTTCAGAGAGCCCTGGAAAACGGCACGAGAAGGCCGAGAGTCCAGCCAAAGGCCGACGGAGTGGTGATGATAACAGCAGCGCCAGTGGTAGTGGTTCTGGCAGTGACAGTGATAGTGGCCATAGCAGCACTGGCCATAGCAGCAGCAGCACCGGCAGTAGCAGTAGGGATAGTAGCCCTGCCACTCGCCGAGGACGCTCTCCCGACGCTAGACGACATTCACAATCTCCAGACCGCTATAACAGCAGAAGTCCGCCAAGAAAACACTATAGCCGATCTCCAGAGAGGCGGCGCAGTAGAAGTCCACACGGCAACAGAAGACGTCATGGGAAGAGTCCAGGACGCCGACGTAGTCCACATCGTCATCGCAGCAGAACGCCTGAACGACGTCGCTCTAGAAGTCCATACCGGCGACTTGCTAGCCCTCGAAGACGCGATCGTGAAGGTGGACGCTGGAGGGAGCGCGATGATCGTGGCCACTCCAGGTTCTCTTCTCACAGTAGCCGGCATGACAGGCATCGTGATCGCTAGTATTGCAACAACCAACCATAGTACTAGGCAAGTGTTTTTTTTTATCCTTTTCAACTTGATGGGCATATCCTCCAGTGCTCATACATTCTTTTCATAGCTGTTCAATTCTCAAAATTTAAAAAAAAAAGTTAACTTCTAGATGATTGTACAAAATCTTGATTGAAAACATCAAAAAGAATTTTTATGCTTGATCATCCACCATATCAACTCCTCTCATGAAAGTATCATGATATCCCATGAAAACAACTGGTTTGTAACTTCATGCTCAATGCATTATAACTGTACTTATTTTGTGGGCTTTTCTCCATTCTAGCAGAATAAACACGTTCAATGTTTTTACACGTTCAATGTTTTTAAGAATCTTGCGCAGTGCAGTGCTATGTTGTGGTATGGTGTAGCAATGGTAGCAGCAAGAGGTGCACAGCTTCAATATGTACAATATCAATGTACATGTGTTGTATAGTGGAGTGAGAAGTTGCCGTGTCTGATCTTGTTCATGAGAAGAACTTGATCCCGCCGTCAGAGTCGTCAGCTTGGGTGCCCTGCATGAGCTCCGCCTTGCCTTGTGTTTGAAGCACACGCAGGGACTTCTTCAACATCCACAGGTCCATGCCGAAAAATTCTGTACATGAGGAAAGAAGCGAAACAGGCCAGCAGGAAGAAAGCATATGTTTGCACTGCAAAGTGAAGTTGGGCTGACAGGTAGCTGTGAGCATTAGTGACACTACTGTGACCGAGCAAAATTCAGGCACAGTTGAAAAAGAAGCAATTGTCATGCACACCAACTGTAACAAGAAAATGCTCAACAGAACATCTTCACAAGTGAGTTTTGTGTGATACCACACAAGGGATCTCGCAGATCGGAGAACATACAGCAGGGTCAACCGATCAAGCCTGGCATGTCCGTAAAAGTTATTCCTTGCTATTAAATCCAAATTAGAGCGGTGAATAGTATGAAAACTGCAGACATCAGAATGCACCATGATGTGCGGTGATATCTGCGCTTTTCATGCTCTTCATAGCAATTACAAGTTCTCCGCAATTTGTACCGTAAATGAGATTTTCTTCCGGGCTTTCCGGACATCAGCAAGCAAGACATCATGGCGTGCAGCAGTAGGCATCAAGCTCCAATCACAGCAAGCTATGTTATGGCCTACTACAGTACTACTATGGCTAGATTTCCAACACTGCCTACTCATGTACTGGCGTTGTAGACAACTCGCAAGGAGCATGCACGGACATTTTACCTTGATCTGCTGCATCATCTCCTGAATGCAAGTCATAATAGGTGCACACCGTGTTGGTGAATCCTTTGCTGGCTACCCATTGGAAGATGAGTGCAGCCCATTCCTCCGGTGTCCGCCACATGACATAGCAACGTGTGCGCTTGGTTGCATCCTCCCATTCCACGTGACCTTCAGAAACAGATGACAAACCAGACATGAATACCATGATCATTATTCGAAAGATGTCATTGTATGTTTTGTACAGGGTGGCAAACTCGTCAGCAGCTCATGATGCCACTCTATACCAAACACATTCAAATAAGGATGATATCAAACCTCCTGTAAAACAGTATCACATTACAGTCCTTTCCTTAACACCACACACACACACACACACACACACACACACACACACACACACACACACGCACACACACACATGCACACACACACACACACACACACACACACACGCACACACACACACGCACACACACACATGCACACACACACATGCACACACCTACGCATACACGCACACACATACGCATACACGCACAGCATGTACTTTGCACATAACGTCGCGAGCGATTTCCCCCTATTAGGACTCCGCATATAGTACAATGTTTGTAGAGCACAAGTAGTACACTCATGTAGTCCTTGCACTGCATACATGCGGACAATGCAGAAAAGATAAGGGCGTACACTACATATACATAGCAGTGTTAATCCAGCAGGACCTCTCAACAGCAATGACAAAGCCAATGTCCCGGTAGGGTTATACTGTATATGCATGAGTCGGCCTGGTCCACACAAGCATAAGACACGCTCACCTTTTCTTTCCAGGGAAGACAAAACTACATTGACAGCCTCCAATGGCAATTTACCTACGCGAAACCAGCTAAGGATATTTCATACAACACAGCTTTAGATTTCAAATCAAGAAACAGTCACATGCATCCTGACGGCATTTTACTTTGAAGATGATTGTACAACTTACACCACCTGCGTATTGGTTAATGCTTTGTAGAAGGCATGTTAACAGATAACATTAAATGGGGACTTTTGCATGAAATTGCGAAGGTCTCTACTACATGTACTCAGTTTGGAACCATCATTTCAATTATGAAAAGAATGAAAACATGGTTTTCTGGCAGGCAGTAAATTCATATCGAAATATACAACTACATGTAAGCAACTCCACTCTGTTCACACTGTACATCTTTTGACATCACTGCATATCAGATACGGACTCAACTATACTTCACAGTATACATACTGCATAACCATTGAAATGCGCTCACAATTTGAGTGCATTGTTCTCTCAATTCGAAATTTCAAAAAATAACTATTGAGAAAAATCCTTTTACTAGTTTTAGGATCGCATTGCCTTGTTCCGGTAGTGCGAGAGGATACGATTTATCACTGCATTATGAAAGAGTGGTGATGATTGCGCCTCAGTCACATCCAATATGTACTGCTTGCTTTGACGATAGTACGACAAGACCAAATCACACCAGGCAGCGATTTGCTTGCTCTGAGTATCTGCATTCGTCTGCAATCTGCACCAACACAAAATTGGCAACCATTAGCACGGCACAATCGAGCTCTGCATCCAAACAACACCTCCCTACGTGAAGAAAGGTGGGAAATTGTACTGCCAAGGCCAATCAAAGGCTTCTTCCTTGGTCGCCATTCTTACGCCATGCTTCACTGGCCCAGAAATGATTACAATAATTATTAATATTTACATTATTGTGCATGTACAATTTTTGGGGGGAAACTCAGTTTTTTTACCATTCCAAACGCCCTCATTCATGCAATCATGGAGTTTTGGCAGAGTCCTTTTATCATGAACATGGGCAAGCAGTGGCCCCTTTGTTACAACCGGGCTTGTCACAATGTTGGTAGCACAGTAAAGAGTCCACCATGCAGGATAGGATGGCAAGCTAGACATGCATGATTTGGCCCAATATTATTGACTCCTGGTGATGTTATACTAATTATATATTTATAGACAGGGAGACGACTCCCCGCTCATACTTGTCATGACACCTGCCGGGCTTTTTGCATGATCTGAGTGATAACGTGGCCTCGTTGCCGGAGACAGAAACTTCAAGTTGAGTGCTGGGTAAAAGCAAGACTGCCGGAGCCTCACCATTGTCCTCAGTCAAGTCCAACTGCTTTGTTTCAACAGCCTGCTGGGTAAAAGCAAGACTGAGCCTCACCATTGTCCTCAGTCAAGTCCAACTGCTTTGTTTCAACAGCCCTTTTATCCATGATCCATTACCTAAAAGTTGGATACTAAGCCCCCCCCCCCCGCCCCAAGTTGGATAGTAACTAAGTCTACAACCCCTCAAGCCGGGGTGGGGGGGGGGGGGGGCTTGGGGCTGACAGGGGAACCGTAACAACCTCCGCCGATCCGATTCACTAGTGAAGTCAGAAGATACAATCATCATGTGACCATTCTAATGCCTTTGGAAGGGTTGTCCGGCATACATGTACGCCCGGGATAATGTGACCGTGAGCTTCTGATTTTCTAGCCCAGTAAAGAGATACCAGGCCGGCAGGCGTGTGTGCGTGGCTGATGCCGGTGCATCATTGGCTAGATGGCGAGTGCACAGAGATCGGTGGAAGAGGTGGACCGTGCAATATCCAATATGCCGTCAAACGTAGCCTACGACTTCCCTGAGGTGGAGAGTGCACCCGAGCCAGTCTTGCTTCACGATCATGATGGCCAGTAACATAAAAGGGGGGGGGGGGGGGAGAGGGCACCATAGCTTGGACACCGTCGCAGAGTGCCGAGCTATCCGCATGCACTGAGTGCAGAATGAAGCGGTCGAACAAGTGAGTCCATCCCAAGAAGGAAGCAGTCACCGTCTCGGGATGACTTTTAAATGCCTTGCTACGAACGGTTTAGCCAGTTTCTCCAACACTGCATCATTAGCCCGGATGCTGTGATCCGGCGATGATGCAACTGAGCAATGGAAGCCACGCCTGAGCCTGCTCCTCTCGGCCGGGTTTGCAAGGGATCTCATCTGCACAGCATCAGTAGTCGCCGCGTGACTCACTCTCAGAGTCCCTCATATCAATGACACAATGGTTTACGGTTTCCTGGTGCCGGGTGATTATCATACCATGATTCACTATTCAGGGCCGGACTGTACTGCCTGTTCCTGTAACTATTACTGTACAGTCATTTACGTACATTGCTACATAATTTTACAGTAGTAGTTGATGTACGCTGCTACATTGTAGTGAAGATAATTATCAGCTCCTAAAACTTGCGGCCTTGTATGTGAGTCTGGTGTCTACGTCTGGCAGTCCCACCTCCACCTCCGCTCATTCGAGAACACCACAGCAGCACAGCGTCTCAGTGCAGATTTAGCACTCCCTGGTTTCAACTCAACCTTTACTCGTCTGCCCACGAACGAAGGTCATTGGCTAGATTAGACGTCAAACAAATAAAGGCAAGGACACTTGCTTGACACTCTGAGTCTCGAAACTACTTGTCTCTCAGTCTCTGTCCAGAGGCAGAGATTCTTACTCAGCTGATTTTTCTCACTGAATCCTCGGGCCTCGAAGATAGCCTATCCTGCACGTGCCGCTAGGTTGGCGTCGATAAGATCAATCTAGCTAGATCTGTGTGAACAATACATGCAGGGCATAGCGCACTGCTCCATGATTCAGCGGATTTGAAGTTTTTTCGAATCATCTTTTGGCTTGCAACCTAGGGTCGGTCTTTCTCTGACATGATCCTGCCTGTGCGAAATTCTGGAAGGCTTGTAGGAGGTCCTGGTACGCTCGTACTTTTCAAGTCTGAACTGAAGTGCCTACATACCAATCTCAACAAATACCACATGCACAGTACGAGCTCACCTATCCTGTATAAAACGGCGGGCTTTCTCCTACAACCCAACTTCCCAAGTCACAACAGCAATCGTGGCTTTCTTTGCCGGAACGAAAACCATTGCATTTGGACGTAGCACAAGTCGATTTGTCGTGCACATTCGAGCCATGGCGTCTGTTGCAAAGTATGATCTCCTAGTGCTGGGTGCTGGGTCCGGAGGACTGGGAATGGGCCGGCGGGCTGCTCGTCTTGGCCAGAAGGTTGCTCTGTTCGAAGGATCACCAGTCCTCGGAGGAACTTGTGTAAGAAATTAATTTTGTTCTATATTTGTAACAGACTCTGTCAAGCATTTGTGGAAGAGACTCTGAGTTTCGTAGGTTTTACTGCAACTTCAGCAAAGATGGCATGTGGAACGACCATGCGGCACTATAACTTAAGTATAAGTCGTGCTTTTTCTATGCTCAACTTCTATTCGTAGCAATTGAAATTTGGAATCAATGGAAAAATCCACCACACAATAGATTACAAAAAACTACCCACACATTATTTTATAAACATGTTGCCCCCCCCCCACCCCAAAAAAACTAGAAACTGCTCTTTTATTTTAGTGTATGGCACATTATGACTGTGTGGCTTAGGCTAACTGGTTGTCCCCACAGGTTAACATGATTCCGCAGGCACCCAATTTTCCGTGTTATATACGTTACCAAGAGTACATAACCAAGAGTGTGCAACTCGACGATCCCCCAGCCCACGGCGGAATTTTTTTATGACATCAGTCTTTGGCAGCTGTTTGGCTCGCTGATGCCATCATGCGTAGCCAGAGATCAAAGTACAAAGAATTTGTACATCACAGCTACGGTATTCGAAGTAGAACAACGGACGATAGATCGATGTGTCTTGACCCTGACGAACTCTCACCATATCTACAAAACGAGCGCGGGAAAGCATACCCACTTCATCATACTTCTGCCAAAGCATGACGCAATAAAAAAATTCCGCCGTGGGTGAACCCATCGCAGCTCAAGATAGGAGTTGCACACTATTGGTTATGTACTCTTGACCTTACTAGACTAGGATCAGCTTTCATCCGCGTTTTTGAGCAATTTTGCATAAAACCCGCGCTATCCATGGTAATGTACAAGAAAATAGTTCATGATGGTGAACATGTACTACAAAATTATGCTAGTACCTACCTGCCCGAGTTTGTGACACAGTTGTATTCTATGAAACTGTACGCTATAGTTGCCAATACATACATGTAGTACAGCTGTGATCGCGTATAATTGCCGCATAGCGACCTGTTTTTTGCCCGCATAACTATGCGCATAGTTTTAGGATTTTGTCCGCATTTATAGTGTGGGGACAGAAATGTAAACAGGGAAACATTTGCCGGCTGGAAGTTTTCGTGATTTTCGCAAAAGGGTGTGACATGACAAGAGTACGCCGACCCAAACAAAGCATAGAACTGTTGTCAAACAATTGCACAATCAGTTTGCACCGTGCATGGTAGTCTGTGTGCTCTACATTGTACACTGTACATAGATCTACATTACTCAGCACACGAAGCACAGACGCCATATTGATATAGTTTCGTCTAGGCCTTTCGTACCATTACTTTTCAAGTCGAATACAGTGATGGTCAAAGCCGCAGCAAGCAAGTCACTTTGCCAGCGCCCGACAGAACTGTAAGACCAGTTGTCCTCATTGATATAATGGTGTCCTCGTTTTGGAGGTTCAAGTGCTGAGAATTTGTGTCCTTCAACGGACTACCAAAAGGTGTCCTCGATTTCTAGGTGTCCTGTAGAGTAGGACAGCATGTCAAAACCTACTTTTCTGAGGAGCATGGTGATTGTTGCTGAACACAGGGTTTGCCGCATCAGGGGACTTCATCACGTATTGGTTTTGACCTGATCCCTGCTAAATATTCTGCTACCTTTGACTGGCTTTAAAAAATGCCACGAAATACTGGGAACATCACCGGGTGCAGCTTAACATTACACATTGCTTTTTGTTTGTACGTCTGTGTATGTGCTGTGTGTATGTGTGTGTATGTGCATGTGTGTGTATGTGCATGTGTGTGTATGTGCTGTATGTGCTGTGTGTATGTGTGCATGTGCATGTGCTCTTTGAAACATTTAGGTTAACGTTGGATGCGTACCGAAAAAGGTGAGGCATTAGAGAGGTTCCGCACTACGTAAAGTTGAGCAACTTTACGTTAGTGGGCGGGAAAAACCCGTGAATTCGCGAGTTTGCACTCCACTTACGGAAAGTTGTCTACGTAGAGTATGTACGTGTAGATAGGGCTCTGATAACGTAGCTGGTCCGTAAGTGGATCGGGGTACAGATTTAAGACTCTCTCCCCAGGTCGATCTGGTCCTATGTGTGTCACAGAGAGAGAGAGAGAGAGAGAGAGAGAGAGAGAGAGAGAGAGAGAGCGAGAGAGAGAGAGAGAGACAGAGAAGGAAAATGTGTGTGCGTGTGTTTACGCACGTTTGTGGTGTGTATGTGCATTTGTGCACAAATATTATGGATTGTTACAGCAAAAGAATCTGGCGTACATTTTGTATATACGTATTTTCTTTGAATTGTCGGAACTTATGTCAATGTCGACACCAATGTGAATGAAGTTGATTAAATATGTGTTATCGTGTGTGTGTGTGGGCACGTGCGTGTATATGTGCATATGTTCGTACATACATGTGTGTATGAGTGTGTGTGTGTGTGTGTGTGTGTGTGTGTGTATGAGTGTGCGTGTGTGTATGAGTGTGTATTAATGTGTGCGTGCGTGCGCGCGCGTGTGTGTGTGTATGAGTGTGCGTGTGTGTGTGTGTGTGTGTGTGTGTGTGTGTGTGTGTGTGTGTGTGTGTGTGTATGAGTGTGCGTGTGTGTGTGTGTGTATGAGTGTGCGTGTGTGTGTGTGTGTGTGTGTGTGTGTGTGCCATGCTACTGTATATTCTTTATCTCCACAACACCTAGTGGTTTGTTTTTCACCTATCTTTTGTGAGTTTGCGAGGGGCTAAACCCTGTACAACCTGTATGCTTACACATGTTTATTGTTACATGTATTTATTGTTACACATGTTTATTGTTACATGTATTTATGCACACTAGGTTATGTTCAACGCTGCCAAGCATGCCGAATTCCTCCATGACCATGCCGGATATGGCTTCACAGTGGGAGAACACTCCTTCAGCTGGAAGTAAGAACCAGGCATACGTACACACTCACTCTGATACTAGTACTAATACTCCTCAATATCATGGCTTACCTGTCAATGTGTGCGGCATATGTCCACTACCAGCACAGTAAAACCTGGTTTATGCGACCACCCCACGGTGCAAGCAAAAACGGTCGTTAAAGCCAGGTGGTCTTTAGAACCAGATCTCCCAGTGTCTGTGTAGAACTGCCGGTGCATGGAAAAACGGTCGTTAAGAGCAGGCGGTCGCTAAACACAGAGGTCACTTACACCAGGTTTTACTGTATGCTCGCTTTCTTATGTCCCGTCCCTGTACTGACATACTCACACACTTGTTTGTGTTGTGCTCTTGAGTTGCCCCTGAGTTCTGGTGTAAGGGTAGATTTCTGGTCCAGATCTGTCTCACTGTATTGCATGTGTGATGACACTGCAGGTCAGGGTGTGATGTGCAGGCCATCGTTATCTGTGATGTGCAGGCCATCGTTATCTGTGATGTGCAGGCCATGGATATCTGTGATGTGCAAGCTATGGGTATCTGTGGTATTATCTGATATACACACTCATCTGACTTGTCACTCGGACTAAGTTAATCTTGTCTCCTGTTCGTGTTTTCGTTTGCCTTGCGAAGCACTCTGAAGACAAAGCGTGATGCCTACATCAAGCGTCTCAACGGTATCTATGAGACGAACGTTGTCAAGGTCAGTTTTGCACGTTGGTTTTCATCTAGCGCATTTCACTTGTAACTCATAACTCATTTGTGACGAGTTGGACTAGTTTCGGCTCCACAATCCAGTGTGTCGTTACTATATAGCTTTCATGGCTGAGGTTGTTGGTACGTCTGTTGGCCCTGGGTTCCCAGTACCCAGTACCCAGTTGCCGAGGCTGGTTGGTAAAATAACTCCAATTCCACTTCAAGGTACCAGTGCATCTAGTGTCTGCTTTTGATCAAAGCAGCGTGCTGTCTATACTGGTTACCCCAGCAAGTGTAGGGTGTGCATAGCTATCTGTCTTGGCCGTCCTAATCCGATGTACTCCGTGTGGTGTAGACCAGGTGTGCACTGGGGGGTCGATTCACATGGCTTCGCCAGTTGTGTGGATTAGACAGTTATCTGGCGCTTGTCTTGATCTGTTTCAATCAGAATCAGATCCGCTATCGTTGCTATAAAGAGAAAATCTGTGGGTGCACATCCAGTGCATTTGCAGATTTGCGTGCTTCTCTTGCGACGGGCGTATACATGGTACATGGTGTGTGTGTGTGTGCACAGGACAAGGTTGACACGTTCATGGCCAAGGCACAGTTCGTCAGTGGTCACAGCGAGCCGACTGTCGAGGCTGATGGCAAGCTGTACACGGCACCGCACATCTGTATCGCCACCGGTGGCCGCCCGATGGTGCCAGATATTCCTGGTCAGTTTCGTGATTGAGCTCTTGCAGTCATACATGTATCTCATACAAGCATAATTATACTGTTGCCTGTAAATTGTAGTTGCAAAGGAAAGGGTTAATATGAGACTATCCTGTTGGTCCTGTACGGAATGCCAGTCATGACTGTAACACTAGGAGAAGCTGGAATAGCGTGTAGCTGTTATACTAGTACTTCCCCAAAGCAGTTACAGTCCATTCCATATAAGTGTGCACTCTTTTCCAGTCAAAGGGCCAATATAAGTGTGCACTCTTTTCCATCCAGTCAAAGGGCCATTGTGTATGCCCCATGGATTCTACATGTAGGCCAGCGCCAGCCTGACATGGGAATACCCCACGTGGATGCGTTGAGATGATCAATAAGGTTCATGACTTCTTCAAAGACAAAGCAGCGGCGCAAGAAAATGCACGGAAATCAGGCAGCAAAGCGAGCTAAAAAAATCAATTTTCCATTTTCTCTCTCAAATTTGGACAGATTTTGATCCGGTTTCTTTTAAAAGGAGCAGCAAGCAAGCGTGCATTCACTCAGAAAAAAATTGCCTTGTATTTGTACATAGTCGTATGATGGGAGCATGTAATAACAGTGCACACTTATAGGGAATGGACTGTAGAGGTTTTTTTATTAGTTAGACAGCGACTTATGCGTACATTGCCGTAGTGGGTGACTTTGCACATTTGGCAGAAGATGTAGGATACATGGTGCTTTGAGGATAGCAATCAGGAGAATATTAATGTATGCACACGTCCCATGCCGACGGTGGAATAGAATTGTAGAGATTCAAACATGGCCAGGAAATGCGTTTCAATTCTTTTGAATTTGTTCGGGAAACCCGTGACGCCTCCTGGATATGTAGACCATGTATGGCAGTGCCTGGACCTCGTAACGCTTCCACCATGTGCAGTGGTGGCAAATGAAATCCAACCTCACCGATCCAGAGCCATGCACACGCACTGCACAACGCAGTGTTTGGTAATGCTAAGGCAGTGTAGGCCTGGACCTGTACTAATCACGGGGTTGGATTTCACTTGCCATCACAGTACATGTGTCATGCCGGACATATACAAAACCGATCTTATGGCCGCAACGTTATGCCGTAGAAGCCCAATCAGGTCACATGTACTGCAGAGTACATACGTTCGTATGTACTACAGTCGTCATCGTCATCGGATCACCATTCGCTTACGGGTCAGCAAAAATCACGGTCAAACTAGTCTGTAGTATGGTCTGGTGGTCAACCGATCACCAGTCCGCGCCCCAGTTTAACCCGCATGCGCGAGCGTGTTGGCAGTTCTGTCAACACCCTCGCCTAGCCCACATCTCTCAATAACAGGCAAATCTGCCTTCAACAAGGAATCTCTGCAGCGCAATCGCCCCGCCTTACGATCCTTGTTTTTTGTAAATTCAAGTAATTTAGTTCACAAGTCATCTGCGAGGAGTTCTTGCTCCAGCTCCATCATTTCTTCGTCAAGCTCGGCGGACCACCCAGCCGCCTGCTCTTGACGTTTCTCATGCGCCTCATCCCGCTGCCGCTGACGCTCCACTCCGAGTTGGGCAGATTCCCGGGACGCAATCGTGCCCTTGGAATCCGCGTTCGGAGCTGCACTGGCGGATGATGAAGAGTCGGGTTTTCCCTTCCTCTTGGGGCTCGCTGGCACCGAGGAGGTCGCGGAGCATGCGAGGCTAGCCCACATCTCTCGATAACAGGCAAATCTGCCTTCAACAAGGAATCTCTGCAGCGCAATCGCCCCGCATTACGATCCTTGTTTGCTGCCGTCAAATCATTCGATCTGTTCGGTTTAGACAACATACAATCTGACATCAACCCAAACATTCCAGCCCACCCGTCAAGTCTGCAGGTAATTGCAAGGAAGTAACCCATCACCAGATCACTCAGAACACAGTAAATTTAGATACATACGACCATCCGGTCTTGTTTATTGTAAATTCAAGTAATTAGTTCACAAGTCATCTGCGAGGAGCTCTTGCTCCAGCTCCATCATTTCTTCGTCAAGCTCGGCAGACCACCCGGCCGCCTGCTCTTGACGTTTCTCATGCGCCTCATCCCGCTGCCGCTGACGCTCCACTCCGAGTTGGGCAGATTCCCGGGACGCAGTCGCGCCCTTGGAATCCGCCTTCGGAGCTGCACTGGCGGGTGATGAAGAGTCGGTTTTCCCTTCCTCTTGGGGCTCGCCGGCACCGAGGAGGTCGCGACCCGCTTTCGGAACTGCACTGACGGATGATGAAGAGTCGGTTTTTCCCTTCCTCTTGGGGCTCGCCGGCACCGAGGAGGATGCGGACGCACCCCTCACTCTCTCCTTAGTCGCCTCGGCTGACCGATGACCTTTCCGCTCTTTCCACTTCCGACTCTTCTTCGCCGACCGTTCTGCCTGGAGGTCATTGGCGTGCCGAAGCAACGGGCCCAGATGTTGTGGAACCCGGCGAAGGTGACGTGCTTGCTCGTGTTCCCCGAGTGCTTCGAGGGCTGCTGCCCCGCGTTGGGCAGATTCCCGGGACGCAGTCGCGCCCTTGGAATCCGCCTTCGGAGCTGCACTGGCGGATGATGAAGAGTCGGTTTTTCCCTTCCTCTTGGGGCTCGCCGGCACCGAGGAGGTCGCGACCCGCTTTCGGAACTGCACTGGCGGATGATTAAGAGTCGGCTTTTCCCTTCCTCTTGGGGCTCGCCGGCACCGAGGAGGTCGCGGAGGATGCGGACGCACCCCTCACTCTCTCCTTAGTCGCCTCGACTGACCGATGACCTTTCCGCACTTTCCACTTCCGACTCTTCTTCGCCGACCGTTCTGCCTGGAGGTCATTGGCGTGCCGAAGCAACGGGCCCAGATGTTGTGGAACCCGGCGAAGGTGACGTGCTTGCTCGTGTTCCCCGAGTGCTTCGAGGGCTGCTGCCCCGCTTTGGGCAGATTCCCGGGACGCAGTCGCGCCCTTGGAATCCGCCTTCGGAGCTGCACTGGCGGATGATGAAGAGTCGGTTTTTCCCTTCCTCTTGGGGCTCGCCGGCACCGAGGAGGTCGCGACCCGCTTTCGGAACTGCACTGGCGGATGATGAAGAGTCGGTTTTTCCCTTCCTCTTGGGGCTCGCCGGCACCGCGGAGGATGCGGACGCACCCCTCACTCTCTCCTTAGTCGCCTCGGCTGACCGATGACCTTTCCGCACTTTCCACTTCCGACTCTTCTTCGCCGACCGTTCTGCCTGGAGGTCATTGGCGTGCCGAAGCAACGGGCCCAGATGTTGTGGAACCCGGCGGAGGTGACGGGCTTGCTCGTGTTCCCCGAGTGCTTCGAGGGCTGCTGCCCCGCGTTGGGCAGATTCCCGGGACGCAGTCGCGCCCTTGGAATCCGCCTTCGGAACTGCACTGGCGGATGATGAAGAGTCGGTTTTTCCCTTCCTCTTGGGGCTCGCCGGCACCGAGGAGGTCGCGACCCGCTTTCGGAACTGCACTGGCGGATGATGAAGAGTCGGTTTTTCCCTTCCTCTTGGGGCTCGCCGGCACCGAGGAGGTCGCGGAGGATGCGGGCGCACCCCTCACTCTCTCCTTAGTCGCCTCGGCTGACCGATGACCTTTCCGCACTTTCCACTTCCGACTCTTCTTCGCCGACCGTTCTGCCTGGAGGTCATTGGCGTGCCGAAGCAACGGGCCCAGATGTTGTGGAACCCGGCGGAGGTGACGGGCTTGCTCGTGTTCCCCGAGTGCTTCGAGGGCTGCTGCCCCGCGTTGGGCAGATTCCCGGGACGCAGTCGCGCCCTTGGAATCCGCCTTCGGAACTGCACTGGCGGATGATGAAGAGTCGGTTTTTCCCTTCCTCTTGGGGCTCGCCGGCACCGAGGAGGTCGCGACCCGCTTTCGGAACTGCACTGGCGGATGATGAAGAGTCGGTTTTTCCCTTCCTCTTGGGGCTCGCCGGCACCGAGGAGGTCGCGGAGGATGCGGGCGCACCCCTCACTCTCTCCTTAGTCGCCTCGGCTGACCGATGACCTTTCCGCACTTTCCACTTCCGACTCTTCTTCGCCGACCGTTCTGCCTGGAGGTCATTGGCGTGCCGAAGCAACGGGCCCAGATGTTGTGGAACCCGGCGGAGGTGACGGGCTTGCTCGTGTTCCCCGAGTGCTTCGAGGGCTGCTGCCCCGCGTTCGGTGGCCTTCATCATTAAGTCGACGCTGACAGTTGTTGGAGGCATCTGTAAGCAATCGCATACAGAAGAACAGAACTTGGAGCCTGATCACAGCACCAGAATATGTCATGCTGGACATACACAATACCGATCTTATGGCTACAACATATACATTCGTATTGCCGTAGTAACCCAATCAGGTCATCAACCAGTATTTGATCCAAGTATCCATTCAGCCCCACATGCTCACCTTGATCAATCGAGAAGGTTTGAGAGTGACTGTAGTCTTAGTTTGAATCTCAGGTTGAAGGTATCTTACATCGAAAGCAGCAGGAGTTATATGCGATAATAAAAGGATCGAATGTGGCAAAGATGCAGCAGAGGCGGGAAAGGCCAGTTCTAAGATCGAATGGGAGGTTGAGTGCACTTAAAAGAACCAAGCAGCGGCAGTTATAATACGTGATACTAAAATTAATACAGTCGTCCCTCTCTAATCCAGCACTTTATAATCCAGCACCCTCGATAAACCAGCACAATTTTCAGTAGCCAAAATGTCTTCTTCAGGCACATTCTAGCAGTAAATCCGATTTGTTAATCCAGCACCCTCCCTAATCCAGCAGAATTTCCGTGGCACAAACGGTGCCGGATTATAGAGGGACCACTGTAGTTGAAGATGACACAGATGAACAGTAGCGGGAAGGCCAACCAATCAGAACGAGAGAGCTTGGAAGCTCAGGGCCCTACGCTATGCTTTTTTGCCTTGACGACCTAGGCAAAAAAGCATAGGGATGTTATCAATTTTTCAATTCTCCTATTTTTTTCAAGGCATAACCTGGGATTCGAACCCGCACAATCGCCCTACATGCATTACCCGATACACTTCGCATTCATACTCATTCTTCCAAGTTGCTTCACGTTATGATCTTGCGTTTGAAAGCCCTATTTGAATATTGTGGCCAGCTGTTTGTGGCCAGCTGTCTTTGATGGTACGGTACAGGACAGATACGGGATAGCGCCAGACGGAGGTCCGTCCGCCACAAACACCAAATTAAAGCTGTGTGGACCCTGGCTAGCGCCAGACGTTACTGAAGTAACGTCTTCTGCATAGCTACGGGAATAAAGATAGTTAGATTTGACCAATAACAGGCAAGACGAAATGCGTAAGGAGTATGATTTGATTAACCCGCGCATACAAAGAGACAATTTGCAGACAAACGACATTCCATGCATTGATGAGTGATAAACGTACTCCATATTGACAGTTGTCGTACAAACAACATCAGTATGTAGTACAGCGGGAATCTTGCTATCGTAGCGGACGTTCCAGCTGCCGAGCGATCTGTAACACATGTATGTACTATGTGCGTGTGTGCGCGTGTGTGTGTGTTTTCTGATGTACATATATTCTTGCAGGTGCCGAGCATGGCATCACCAGCGATGGTTTCTTTGAACTTGAGACACAGCCAAAGTGAGTGGCGAACGAATAACATGCATTGATTCTCAACATGCCCAGCGCTATTTTCTATTTCCAAGACGAACCTTGAGTTATTGTTCTCGTTTTTTGCTGAATGGGTTGGCTCCCGACTTGTCCCTACATTTCTGTGTGAATACTGTACCCATGTGAAGAACCTCCTCTCCCCTGCCTCACTTGTGAGGCTGCATTCGCCACTAAGGTGAACAGGCATAGTGGTGGCCTGCGGATGCGAAGGCTAGTTTGTGTGTTTCTGAACATTCAGGCGATGCCGACGCGGATCCCGCGAATATTACTTGTTATTATTATGTGAAGAGTTGACAGGCTCGCAAGTTATTTTCGTGCACAGTGTTGTAACATTTCACACTGAAGTATTGCGACAGAGCTTTCGGCCATGCTCCACTTTCGTATTTCCGTGCATTGGCTCGGCTAAGAGCGCCGCGTGGTGGTGGCAGGTACTAGGTGGGGGGTGTAGTAAGGCTAGGTGTTGTAGCATGTGTTCTTGTTTTGCTTGTGCACCGTGACTGACCGGCCGCCCGCCTTGTTTTTTTTTTATTTGCCAGGAAAGTGGCCGTTGTTGGTGCTGGCTACATTGCAGTGGAGTTGGCTGGTATCTTTGGTGCACTGGGATCTGAAGTTGACCTTTTCATCCGCAAGGAAAAGGTAAAGATCACTACTATAGACATCTATGGTCAGGCCTGGGGAAAGTTCAATTGGTCAATTGAATTGGTCGGGCAGAGCAAAGTGTACTTTATTCCCTGCAAATAATTTGTTTGACAAGAATTCATGCTTTTTGATCACGTTCTATGCAGTTTAACTGGCTGTTTCCTGTAAAAAGGCCAATGGCCTGTGGGAGACACCCAAGTAAAGAACAGTGGTTGTTGGTTTGTTATATGAAGAACTTTCTGTCGCTGCTGTGTGTGTCTTGTGTGCTTGGTGGCGTTGTGGTGGCTGCCTCTCCCAGGTGCTACGTGTCTTCGATGATATGCTGAGCGAGGCTCTGATGACCGAGCTGCCACGTGGTGGTGTGGCCGTGCATCCCCACACACAGGTAAGACAACATAAGGCATTGTAGTGATTAATTTGTACAATGGTTGTACAGATAATCTTGCAGGATGCTGTCATCTGCTTCTGTGATGACTATTGGCGTATTGTTACAAATGGTAGTGACGGCAAACTCATAATAATGATCTCAGCATAGACAGTGCAAGCAATCCATAGTACCTGAGGTTCCCACTTGCTTTGATCGTTGCCTTGTAAATGGCGGTGAATTGTGTTGCTTGCTGCTGCTGCTGCTGTTGTTTCAAATCTTTATTCTCACGATGGTTGTCGTTGTTGTTGTTGCCGATGTCGTTGTTTTAGTTGCAAAGTGTTACCAAGGAAGCTGATGGCACCTTGACCATCAAGCGTATATCCGATGGCAAGGAGGTGTCTGGTTCAGGCTATGACTGCTTGCTGTGGGCTATTGGACGTGTGCCGAACATTGAGATTGGACTTGACCATGTCGTAAGTGAAAATCTATGACACATACGTGTGTGTGTGTATGTGCAAGTGCATGTTTGTCACTATTTGACAGCGTCACATCCCCTACTCTCTTTGTACAGGAGTGTCCACGGCTTAGGTGTGTAGGCACTGTGTTAGGCTGTGAGGAGCCACTTTTACTGGCAAAACTAACACAATGAATGGAAGTGCAATACTGTGGTAGAGTGGGCTTATAGATTCCGTGCTGGATTTATCACGGTGCTGTCATATCTCTTGCGCTGAAATCAACACTCCAGCTTTCTCCCACCTTGATATGAAGCAGTCACAGTGAAATCCGTCCTGTCTTGTAGCCGTTAGTACATGTACACTTTGATCTGATTATTTTCTCAAGTTGCAGCTATTGACTTACTGTAAGACATGTTATTATAACGAGTCGCAAATTTAACGATTGTCCAAAATTCATAGGTTAACGAGAAGATATGTTAACGATCTTGCAGTATTCTGCCATATCCACACACAGCATATATGAAGCAGTACGGCTTCAACGGATCTTATTATAACGAAGAAATGTCATCCGTTAAAACGTTAGATTTGCTTCCTCGTTATATATACATGTCTTACAGTATATCGACTTGATGGCTTGCAGAATCCCTTGCAAATCTCCAATGCGAGTACTGTGTTCTTTTGTTTCATTCTTTGCTGTCTCGTGACGTTGTATCTCGCTCGTTCAGGGAGTTGAACTGGAGCGTGGACACATCAAAGTTGACGAAGTGAGTGATTCCGTATAGCTGTGTTTTTTTTCTGGTGTAAGAAGTCTGATTTGTGCATGTCTGCTGTGCATCTTATACTTCTTTATTTCCGAATGCCATATCACTGCGTCAGCTGCCTTAGCAACGGCCTGTTCACCTGTTAAATGATTAGTTCCTGTGGGCATGTGCTTGGCCGAGTGCCAGAGGACTTCAACGTGCTTGTGTGTGGAAATACCTCGACTCTGCCAGATGTACGCAAACAACGCCGAATGTATTCCTTGTTGTCTTACTTGTTGCGCTGCCCTGTGTCTTGCCTGCTCAGTTCCAAAACACCTCAGCCAAGGGTGTCTACGCCATTGGAGATGTGCAGGGCAAGGCTTTGCTAACCCCAGGTAAGACTTGTCTTCTCGTACTAGTACACACTTCTGACTACAGACTAGTGCAGTTTAGCTTGTGCTGAGTGATGCAGAGAATATACACTGGTACAGTACTACTTCTGAAGTGCAATATGTGGATTTGGCAAGTTTTGACTCGGGAATCTCCTTTGGGAAACTCGCGCATTGTGACGTTGCCTTTGTTCACTCTACATAGTCACTGCTGTGTGCAGTGCAGCATTTCTGCAGACAACCGCTGGGCTGCCTTTTGTGTCAACCAACTTCTTGACTGCTGTATGCCAACCAACCTCTTGGCTTCTGTGTGTCAACCAGCCTCTTGGCTTCTGTATGTCAACCAACCTGTTGATTTCTGTGTGTTTACGACCCCTTGGCTTCCCTATGTGTGTTTTGTTCAGTTGCTATTGCCGCCGGCCGTCGCCTGGCTCATCGTCTGTTCGATAACCAGCCCACTCTCAAGTTGGACTACAACAACATTGCCACTGTGATTTTCAGTCACCCGACCATCGGTACTGTTGGTCCTTCGGAGGGTAAGCTGCTGCTGCTGCCATGGTCTATCTGGTGGAATTGGTTCTTGTCATAGAGAATTGTGAGACGCAAATATCCTCGGACAAAGCAATAGCTACGTTGCCAATTTCGTCAAAATGAAGTGAGTTTTTTTCAGGTTTCGGCACATTCTCATGCACAGCTGTGGCAAGTGAAATCTGGACTGATGTGCGTTTGCTGTTCTGAAGGCCATGGTGCCTCTCACCCGTATCCGAGGTCATAAATTACCTGAAACACATTGCAATCGGCAGATAGGCTTGAGTGATTCCAAAATGTTGGGAAAGCCATGATCACCGAACCCAAGAGTAGATAAACAAGAGTGTGCAACTCCGGATCTCTCCTGCACAATCTGCAGATACCCCCGCCCGTGGCGGAATTTTTTGTTGACGTCACCATTTTTCAGAGAAACGCTCATTTTGCCGCAGAGCAGTGTGAGAGCACGTGCTGGGCACCGACCTTGTAGTATAAAGCCCGGCCAAGAGCACGAGGGAATTCTTTCCGAAAGACTCGCAGCGCGTGCGTCGTCGAAAAAATTACATCAACAAAAAATTCCGCCATGGGCCTACCCATCCGCGAGTTGCACACTCTTGTTTATCTACTCTTGCCGAACCTTAACACAATATTGAGGGCTGGCAGCCCAATCAGTTGACATGCATGTACATTTATGCCCATCCAGGCCCAATTGGCTGCTGGAGTGTGGCCCAGGCAGTTGTATGTGTATGCCCCAAAGTGGAGTTGTTCCCTGCATGCAATGAGGATATGACGTGTTGGATATGACCAAGATTACTGTACTGCTGTATCTCTCTCTCTCTCCCTCTCTTCATTGCCATCATGGTCTGTAGCCGAGGCTATCAAGGAGCACGGCGCTGACAAGATCAAGTCGTACACGACTCGCTCAGTGAACATGTACCATGCACTCAAGGACCCCAAAGACAAGATTCCCACCATTGCCAAGATGATCACACTCCTGCCAGAGGAACGGGTAGGTCATGCTCTGTGTTCTACTGACTCCTAGCTTAGGCGAATTGGGGCACTTGAGTGCCTGCACCCCTGGCCCCTACGCTGTACTGGATAATACTGTGATAACATTGGCAACATGTGTTTCGCTTTGAAACTCCCAGTTTCCTTGTTTGCCCGGCTGGGCACACCTCACATGCATGTCCTGCATGCAGTTTTGGTTCTAGACAGTGTATGCTTTTTACGTTCAAGTGGTACAGTGGGTGGGTGCACTGTAGGTGCCAAATCATCATTTAGGCACCGTTGAGATAAACGCATGTGCCACATTTATAGTTAGACTGGCGTACGATAAGCATGGGTATTATTGGGTTTGCAGCCACTCTAGCAGGCTGTGATGGATGATTTTTGGGGCATGCACATAGAATAGCACAAAGACTGAAACTGCGCACTACGGCTGTTCTACGTATTATTTTCAACCTGCTTTATTTCCAAGGTTGCCATGCACATAGAGAATCGCGAGGCCGAATATTGAAATCAGAAAGGGGGCCGGAAAAATACAAAATCTGTTCGTTTTGAGAGAAAAAATCAGTAACCCCTTAGACTGCATTGTTACTTGGAGTTGTTAATGTATGTGTATTCCACCAGAAAAGCACCCCTCCCCCAGATCCCATTGTCCACACACATCATTGATTATGTGGACCCTGCCTTGAAAGGAGAGGTTGTTTTGCAGTTTTCCTGTTCTTGTAACATTCATCATCTTCCAACGTTCTTGTTTTTTAGATTCTTGGTTTGCACATTATCGGTGATGGAGCGGACGAGATGATCCAAGGTTTCGCCGTGGCAATCAAGATGGGAGCCACGCACAAGGATTTCAATGATACTATTGCCATCCACCCCACTGGCTCCGAGGAAATTGTCTTGATGTGAACAAACAAGGAAATGGCTAGCCGCTGAAGCAGAACAATAGGCCTTTTTCACTCCACCTTTCCACACAGCGAGTTTTAAATTACAGTTCTCCTACCTGTCGCATCTTGGGCATGCTGATTCTTCTCTAAACTGTGCTTGACTAAAGCCGTTGTTTCTTTACGGTTTTCACTAGAAACGTACGAATCATGCAGTCATACTTCCATTTTACCATAGATTTTACACCAGCTAACCCGGAATTAAGTGAAGACATCACAGCTGGTTGGTTATAGATTCGTCGAGCTTTTTGAATCTGCTCTCACTTTTAGATATAATCATTTCATGAAAAAATCATAAAATATAGTTTTTTCTTTAGGGTTCTTCCTTCTAAGTGTTCTCTGATGGTCTGGGCTGTTTCTGCAACCCGTTCTCTCTCATTCCGTTCGATGTTGTTGGTTGGTACTGTCTTGTACCTGTGAGAACAAATGTGTGTGAAGCATGCACACAACACCAACAGCGGCAACGACAGCAGCAACACACAGAGGCATACACGTTCAGGGCAAATGTGGATGTTAGCCGACTAGTCACTACAGCAGCAGTACACGAGGTTCTATACTCTACATTTAAATATTATAATAATTATTATAGTATATTGCTAAAGAAGGGTATAGTAGCAGCATTCGGTCTTGTCCAGATTCTTATCAACCACCACATCACACCGCCTCTGTTAGCCATTCTACATTATCAACCTTCACTGACGAGATCCTGATGATCGAAACAGCTGCTGTCTGAAGGAGCAGAGTACCAACTGAAGTGTCGTTTTGCTGATGGTGTGCTGTGGTGGTTGATAAGAGTATATTGCTAGGCTGTGTTTACATGAGGCATTTCAACCTGGGTTGACTTTGACCCGGGTCGATGTTCAACCCGCCATGAACACAGATGGACTGGCGCGCTTACAGGACTCATTGACTGGCGCGTTTAGGGCCCGGTCACACATGCACTCGAAAGTAGCGGATCCGCAGGAGCGAAAAATACCATGACAACGGCGAAAAGCGGAACTTCCGCTGAAGCGGAAACTCCAATCCGCTTCCTCCAAAATTTTCGAAGTGAGACTGTCGCTTCTGAGGTTTCGCTTCAGCGGAAAACACCACGGTCTGCTGTATATGGACTTGCTACGAGAAATTTGTATGCGTATGATGTCCATGCAACAAAAATGCGTGCAAGATAGTCATTGACCTCGTCTATTCTCCGTACCGTATGCACCACATGCACAGTCCACTTTACTCTCATTTTCCGCCAAAGTTGTTATGTGTGACCATACACACGCTAGGGTTTATCGGGTGTTAGCGGCCGTCGTGAGTTCCCTTCGGGAACGGACACGATAATTTACTCTTTTTTTTTTACACACGTGGTTTCGCTGGAGCGACGCCAGGCTCGCTGTCGCAGAACCTCGACGCCGAAGCGAACCCAAGTGCATGTGTGACCGGGCCCTTACATGACTCATTGCACTTGACCCGGGCTTATTTCAACCCTCCCCTTGGGGGAGGGTTGAAATCGTACTATCATACTTTTGTGTGTATCTCGTGCCAGGTTTGAACAGCACCGCACAGGCAAATTTCGCGTGAAAGTATTCGCGTGACCATACAGGACTCCAGAAGTGGACTTTTTGGCGGTATATCAGTAATTGACCCGGGTCAACTGTCTTCATGTGAACACCCGCCTATTTTTTTCTCCATCGTACAGACTTTCAACCCGGGTTGAAAATTCTCATTTAAATTATAGTATAAAAAACCTCCAGTCATTTGCGTGTTCTAAAAAGCAGGTAATATTTCTGGTAATCACTCATATAAAAAACCTGTATAAAAACCTGGTGCTGTAAAAAACCTGTATAAAAAACCTGGTGCTATAAAACCACTTTTTAGGAAAATGACTGGAGATTTTTTATGCTATCAATTTAAATAGAATATAAGCTTCACCCTCGTGTTTACGGGGAAAAAAAACCCAAGGCAAAAAACCTCGTTTGCCTCGGGATTTTATTTCCCGTAAACACTCGGGACTCAGATTATATTCTATACGTAAGCACAACCTTTAATAGGGGCCTTCCGTAAATACCGATATTTATTTATAAACAAAAACTAGTCGTTTCTCTTCAACCCTGAGAAACGAACACATACAAATGGTACATAGTGTCGATATTTTTCGTCTTTTTTCTGGACATGCTCACGCATGCAAAATGCACATCGATATTTTTCGAGAAACGAACAGGCGCTCAACCCCCTCCCCCGAAAACGAATAGTTTCGTTTCTAAATAAATATCTATATTTACGGATGGCCCCTTAGCAAGGTAAGTTGGCCAGTGCTTTACCAACCTTCAACTAGCTGCCGAAAGCTTTCCGTCGACTGTCGCAATGACTCAGCAACTTCCACCTGCACAGCCAACAAGAAGGGATTCATAGTGACACCTCCAACAAGCACAGATTCATAGGGACACCTCCAACAATCACAGATCCATAGTGGGGACAACCTGAATTAATTCACGACTTCGGGTCGCTTCACACAGCTGCAATGGTAATGGGGTCGGTCAATCGATCGCATTCTTTTTTTCCCCCTCACATTAGCTGAAGCCAGCCATGCACAGGTATAAATGCCAAGCTTTGCATGTCTTCAAAGGCTAGCTGTATACTTGCTGTGCAGATGGCCCAGCACTACATGTACTTCGAAGTACATCAGCTACTCTTGGTTCCACAGGCAAATGAACCTGTTGAGCTGGTTCCATCAAGGCATCTATCATCGAGCGGCGAGCCAGCAGAGCTATGATTCCATCCTCTTTTAAACTTTGGGTGTGCAACTAAAATATATATTTCTGCAGTCATTTCTGCAGTCTATTTCTGCAGTCGCATTGAAAAAGGCGATGGAACGGGTGACCAGAAGCAACAAATTGGTTGGTTTGTCAGCATTGCATTTCAATGGTCAAAGCTGGAGATAAGAGGGCCAGGAAGTCAAATTAAACAGACCTTTGACTGGAAGGCTTCACTGTAGTCCCTGCTGGATGTGCATAACGCCATAACCTCACGTTGAATGCAGCAAACATGTTTCTTGCACACGCTCACTGCACTACCCTTTGACTCTGTCTCTATTTGATCATTGCCCGATAGCAAGAGTGCATAACCCCCAAGAGTGTGCAACTCCAGCTATGGGGTCTGCGACGGCAGAACTTCACATTACGTGATGAACCCGTACACATTATTTGTACTCTGCATGATAGAGAGAGTACAGGGTTGTACGCAACCCAGCTTTGGGTACAACTCTCTTGTGGTCACTTTGCACTGTTTGCCAGCATAGCCTTTTGAACTATGTCACGTGATGTGAAGTTCTGCCGTCCCAGCTAGGCCTCGACCAAATATGCAAAAAAAAGAGAGCATATTATGCTCGTCGCATATCAGGTAAAACGTCCATAATATGCCAAAGGCTTAGCAAGATATGCCAAAAGATATGCCAAAATATGCCAAAATATGCTCGACATATTAAGCAGAAAGTGTAGATCATTTCAGTAAAATTACAACCTTGGAATATTCATTGGCTTCACGGCTATCATGCTTATGGTGCAAATCAAAACACATGCGGAATAGTATGGCTGGGGTGTGTCCCCAGCAACAGTAGCGTTAAGTGTTCATCCATGGGGAAATGTAACAAACGCCTCAACCATTCCAAATTCATCCATAAAAGGCATTTCTGAACGCATTTTGTCCAGAATATGAATGTTTTGTCCTCATTTTCTTCAGAATATTTGAATTATGTGCTGGCTTCATTCCAATATTCCCTTTGTCGCTCAATATGAACTGTCTCACAAAATATGCGGAAATATGCGCAAGCATATTTGGTCGAGGCCTAGTCGCAGCACAGCATAGAGGTTGTGCAGGCAGTTGCACACTCTTGGAGGTTATGTACTCTTACCGATAGTCATCATACAGTCATTCCCTGCTGCCAGTGCAAACTAGGCTTTTATTTTATGCTCGGTTACCTGTAGATCTTGCAGAGCATGCTCCATCCTTGCATGTTGTCTCAGAATGTGCTCCTGGGTGGCCTTCATCTGCAACATATCCTATAAGCATGTGTAATAGGAATCAAAAAAGCAAAGCACTCTTGCATCATAAATAATGGCACCGGACATTAGGTTCATAGCTTGTTTCCACAGCTCACTTTTTAAGGAATGTGCATCTTTGCAAGCATGTATGTGTGTTCAGAAAACACTGATGCCCTTTCCACAACCGAGAGAGAGAGAGAGAGAGAGAGAGAGAGAGAGAGAGAGAGAGAGAGAGAGAGAGAGAGAGAGAGAGAGAGAGAGAGAGAGAGAGAGAGAGAAAAGAGAGAAGAGAGAGAGAGAGAGAGAGAGAGAGAGAGAGAGAGAGAGAGAGAGAGAGAGAGAGAGGAGAGAGAGAGGAGAGAGAGAGAGAGAGAGAGAGAGAGAGGAGGGGGGGGGGGGAGAGAGGGGGAGAAGGGGAGGGGGGGGGAGGAGGAGGAGAGAAGGGGAGGGGGAGGAGGAGGAGAGAAGGGGAGGGGGGAGGGAGGAAGGGTTCTTTCTTTCGCAGATTTTTCTCTTTCTCTCCCCTTTCCTCTCTTCCTACCTCCTTCCCTCACGAGGGAGGGAGGGAGAGGGAAAAGGGAGGGAAAGAGAAAGAGAAAGAAAGAGAGAGTACACCGGAAGGGAGGTAATGAATACAGTTGGCTCTAGCATCTCTAGCCAGCACTTACAAATGACACAATTAGCAAAGTTAGCGGAGTAGTTGCGGGTATTGTTACTTGAAGTACTAGACTCAGCCTGATGAAGACTGGCCAATTTCAAGTTGGTGAACGTCAGCAGTCATGGTGGTGTATAGTATCTTAGCCACTCACTAACTCAGTAGGCTTACCGATGCAAGACCATCCAAGAGTATCTGCTGATGCTCAGCTTGTCTGGACAGTAGTTGTCTCTGTTCATCTTGCCTTGCTGCTCTCACTTCACTCTAGATAGAAGAACAACGGGGAAAGGCATGGCATGGTCGTGCTGCTTACTATACGCCATGTTAACTGAAACTACTGGGGGACGGTCCGTAAGCCCCCGCAAAGCAATTCGAGCAAAGCAATTCGAGAACACTTGGCATCGCATGCTGACCATATACTTGTACAAATCTACCGGAACAGTAGAGCAACTTGCTAACTTGCGGACAATGGCGTGGCGACGTTGCCGATGGCAAAGTGGCCGAACAGCACACTTGCAACACTCACAAGCATGGATGAAACGTTCCACTATGGACCATGCAACTGACCATTCTAAACGAACGCAGGACCGTAGTATCCAGTCTGACCTGTCCGGCCATTCCGCCAAAAAAAGGTTGACCCACCCAAAATTAGTGAAACCGGGGTTTCGTCAATAATGTCCGTGTCTGGTCAAGTACCGCATTGGGCCGGACCATACAACATTCCAGTGTCACAGCCCTGGAAAGCTAAATTTCTCACCTCTTTAAGATGTGAGGTCAACATGAGAATTGTCTCCAGAAGCAGGCCCGAGTGCCCATGAAACGATGCGGCGGCTGGGTCAGATGCAGATAGGGATTCACGCTGGAATGAAACACATGCACAACCAGACAAGCAAGGGCTCAACAGTATTTAGTAACTATTTACGACTGAGCTCTTGGCAAAATCGAATTAAACTCACTCCAGCACACTACCGAGCACTCTGCGTCGGATTACACAGTACATGACTTTCCATGTCAAGGCAGTGGTGGCAAGTGAAATCCAACTCATCAGACTGAAGCAGAGCCGTATTGACTGTACAGCCCAGTGTTCACAGTGCTTAGGTCATGCTAACCAGTGCGGCTATATTCCCGGGGCTGGATTTCACCTGCCGACCCAGCGCAGGTAAGCTAGGAACAGCAAACAACACACACACTGCACATGTTCATGTACTGAGGGCTTCCGATGCGTCACACATTCACACTGTATGCAGTATGCACCATGTCTCTATGCACCATGTCTCTATGCACCATGTCTCTATGCACCATGTCTCTATGCACCATGTCTCTATGCACCATGTCTCTATGCACCATGTCTCTATGCACCATGTCTCTATGCACCATGTCTCTATGCACCATGTCTCTATGCACCATGTCTCTATGCACCATGTCTCTATGCACCATGTCTCTATGCACCATGTCTCTATGCACCATGTCTCTATGCACCATGTCTCTATGCATCTATGCACCAAGTCTCTATGCACCAAGTCTCTATGCACCATGTCCCTATGCACCATGTCTCTATGCACCATGTCTCTATGCACCACGTCTCTATGCACCATGTCTCTATGCACCATGTCTCTATGCAGCATGTCTCTATGCATCTATGCACCAAGTCTCTATGCACCATGTCTCTATGCACCATGTCTCTATGCACCATGTCTCTATGCACCATGTCTCTATGCACCATGTCTCTATGCACCATGTCTCTATGCACCATGTCTCTATGCACCATGTCTCCGAGCTATGCACCATGTCTCAATGCACCATGTCTCAATGCACCATGTCTCTATGCACCATGTCTCTATGCACCATGTCTCTATGCACCGTGTCTCTATGCACCGTGTCTCTATGCACCGTGTCTCTATGCACCGTGTCTCTATGCACCATGTCTCTATGCACCATGTCTCTATGCACCATGTCTCTATGCACCATGTCTCTATGCACCATGTCTCTATGCACCATGTCTCTATGCACCATGTCTCTATGCACCATGTCTCTATGCACCATGTCTCTATGCACCATGTCTCTATGCACCATGTCTCTATGCACCATGTCTCTATGCACCATGTCTCTATGCACCATGTCTCTATACATTGTTATACCATGGTTGTCGGGGCTCGGAGACGGTCTTGGATGGCATGGAGAAGGAGACAGTACCGTGCTATACAATGTGCATTGCCGGGAATAATGTGAGTACACAGAACGGACCAACGCATATGGCCGATTGGTTTGCAGGCCTGCCTGCGAATCATGAGGTCCCGAGTTCGAGACCCGCGCTGGTAGCAGGGAGCGTGTAAAAAGACTTTTTACGCGTGTTGAACTGCGCCGACACCCACGGTCAACTGGGTACTCACAGCTCGAGTGAGGATAACAAGGATGCAGTTTACAGGGTTGTGGGCCGTTACACGCCCGATTGGTTGAGAGACTCACCTCCTCTCCCCTGACTCACTTGTGAGGTCTGCATTCGCCACTAAGGTGTAAAGGCATAGTGGTGGCCTGCGGAAGCGAAGGCTATAGCTTGTGTGTTTCTGAACATTCAAGTGATGCTAACGCGGATCCCGCGAATATTATATACACAGAACGGTTCAGTACCTTCCCAGGTGACAGTTGCTCTAGTGGAGTTGAGAGCTGACGCACGGAATCCGCTATTCTGTCCAGACGCTGTCCAAGCAACACATAAAATCATGCAGAGATTGTATAGCGTTCGCAACGTACAGATTACTAGTACCAATGCTCTTCTACATACCTTCTGATTCTCTACGTACATCGCCGCCATGCATCTACAACGTAAATCGTACGTGTCCATATGACATATCCACATAGTGGATACCGTGTACATGCAACTAAAAAGCCTCTGGGCTACAGCCGGACTGAGCAATCAACAATCCATTCCAAACCAAACTAGTCACGAGTAGCCATTTGATTACCAATACTGTCATGTACTAGAACTGTTAGCAATGGAACCCTTGAACTACAACAGGACCTGTTGGTTGAATGACGTGGGGGGAGGGGGAGTGCAAAATTGATACGTGGACCAAGTGGGACCAGGAGGAGGACCAAAGGAGAACAGTATACACTGGTAGAAAGCACATGATGCGATGTATGAACTTTGACTGGGATGATCTACCCACATGACATCTGACCCATGACTAGGAGCAGTACAGATCATACAATACAGATAATCAGATCAAACACGGCTAACCTCAGTAACTACTTCTTCCTGCTTGTCACCTCCACAACCATCCACCATGAACTGTGCAGCACGTGCTGTTTCTGATGGCTGAACACTGTCACTGCGAGGACAATGCAGCATTGAGGTAATTGGCGCATGGCCAGCCTGTGGCGATGAGGTCTCCGCCGCAGTGGCCATAGGGAACTGTCGCAGATCAGACATTGGGGCTATCCTGGAGGATGCATCACCTAACTGCGAGCGGTACGGCGGTGATCCTGATGAGCACCCTCCCACGGTGTTTGTTTCCATATTACCGTCACTTTCTGAACAGTCAACAGAGTGCAGAAGTGAAGCACAGCGCATCCAAACAAGGCGTACCACTAACCAGCCCTACCAGTCAGAGCCGTTCTACCACCCAAAGCTGATGCAGACTGTTGCATAACAGGGCGGTGAAAACTGAAAAAGGCTACATTAGTGTATAAATGGTCACGGTCGTGATGACATACATGTAACAGTGATAGTACATGTACCTACCCTCATCAGCGCACCGCACACAAGGCAGAACCGTCCGCAGCACATTTCAAGCGATCACGCCAACCCACTGCTGGCAATTGTCAGCCTTGTGGCCCACAGGGAGGCCATTCTCTGAAGTAGGGAGATGTGCGACCAGTACCTACTCCATTCACACATTTAGATCGTGTCATAGTCTCCCAGTGCTAGTGACTGCATAGTCTCCCAGTGCTAGTGACTGCTCGATTTTCAAGTTGCACGTTTCAGAACCACAGTCACACAGTCCTGTCCTGCCCACTGCTACCTATCCACCCCCCCCCCCCCTCCCCCCCCCCCCCGGCTGATGAAAAGACAGCACACACAGATTCAAAACGTCAGCCAGCTAAACCGAGCCAATGGCCGAGACCTTACCCGTGAGGCTGCTGTCATTGAGTGCTGCAAATGGCGACATCACACTACTACTATCCGCTGTCTGGGAACTAGAGCCAAACAGACTGCCATTGTAGCTACCATCGGCACCTGGAAGGGATCTGCAAAATCAATGCACACAGCGTTTTTCTTGGTCACATCGCCCATGAGAATCACATAACGTTACACAGCGGTCGATCTATGATGAGAGTACCAGGACTGAGGTCACATGTCTGATAAGGGGCACGTGTGACCATTCTCCAGTACAATCTGCATCATCACTTGTCACATGACTCATTATGTGATCATGGAAGAAACCATGAGCAACAGTGTACATGTACATGTAATGGAAACATGTTACTAGCCAGAAGATACGTTGAGAGTAACACTTGTTGAAAGGCTGTGTAATCCACCAACATACCTCTCCAGCCGGCTATTGCTTGTTCGAAGTCTTGGTCCGGCTGGCGTGGGAGTCAGATGCACTGAGCTGGAATATCTCTGCAAAATGCAAGAGGATGGTAAACTTTGATGATACGTGAGCATTCCGAGCTGGGGAGGGGGGGGGGGGGGAGAGGTGGAGGAGGAGAGAGAGAGAGAGAAGTGGGGGGGGGGGGGGAGTGGTATACCTGCACCTACTACATACAGCATGGGTGTGTCCTCTCAATGTCACTGACAGAAAAAAACTAGGTCAGCTGTTGGATGTCCAGGTCAATGCCTGGCTACTATATGCATGTCATGTTCGTGCATTGATGGTCAGTGTGCATGATGTGCTAGTCAGCCTTGGTCTCGGTCCTGCATGTCAAATAAGCGTTTCTGATTGTATCTAGCTAGTCCAGCAATAAGTAGTTTGTAGATCTGGCTGTGGAGATTGCACAGAAATGGGAGAAGCAGTCAAGAGAGGATTTGGCCAATAGCAATATATAGATAGGTGCACTGACAAGAGGGAAGGAACTTCGTATGTACACCTAGCATACCTTTGGATCATCTCCAAACAGGTCTTGCACGGCAGAGAAAGCCCTCTCACCTGCTGTCATTTTGCGACTCTGAGACCAGCAAACAGAAAGAACAGAAGCAGTAGACAAGAAATGAGACCGTGACAAAACACGAGCAGAGGAAGACAATTAGACACCCTGATTTGTCCTCCGCGGTGACAGTACTTCTTGGAACATTTCGGAATAGAGCCACATTCGTACCAGGACAATTCCCACTCAACAGCACTTTCCACCGGCACGGTGTATTCTACTATTCGGTATACTGATTCTGTTGTTCAGAGCATATCAATTTGAAAAATGAAAATAGAGGCAAACGTGACGCATACTTTACTGGGTCAAATTATCAGAAGTTCAGAATGGGTCACAAAGAATATGCTTCAACATCCTCCATATGAAGGTCAGTACTGCTGAGGTCTACACATGCTGGAGACCATAGAGAACAGAAACAAACTCTCACTTTGTCTGTTGAAACCATTTCATTATCAAGACTGTCATCACACTACGGTACAAAGCGCTGCGTCTACGTCCACGTAAGGAGTTTTTGGTGGGTTGCCATGATGATCCATGTACGGGGTGAAAACGGGAGCAGAGGAAACGGGAAGCGTAGACGTGGCAGGGAGAGGGGGAGGGGGAGGGGTATGCAACTTTTCAGGTAAACGTGTGTATCTCTATCAGTCTTTTTCCAAGCAACAGTGTACGTAGATCTACATGTACGTTTGAATTTTGAAGTTCTCCAAAAACTTGGCTGCGTGTACGGGTACCTGTGTGATGACATAACCACCCGTTTTGGAATTTTCACCATAGACGTCGACGTGAACGGGAATTAGTGAACGTAGTGTGATAACCTTCTAAACAAGAAGGCTGAAGCTCTATGAAGTCCCTACGGTTATGTAATTATGTCTCACATCGGACACTGAGCTGGCACTGGCAAGGGTTGATGATGATAAGGACAATGTCCTGTCAAGGCAGCGACCTGGAAAGGAAACCAAATGGATGAACATTGAAGGTTATTGAGAAAAAAAAACATCACAAGAGTCCCACACACATGGCCCAGGGTGTGACCAGATCAACAAAATCTTCACTAGTACGTGATGTAAATAAGCCGGGGAGATTTTCACTCGCAGACTTGACCTGCCAGTTCCAGTTGTCCTCAATCGGCATTTTAGAAGACCAGCACAGCACAACAACGTGAATGAACAAAATTTTCTCAGAGAATACAAGTGACCTTTGCGGATTTGGAATTATGTTACATAGACCTGTTGATGTGAAAACTAGGCCTGACCCTAATCCTGATACAAGAAGAGGCGAACGAAACTTACCGTGTTGTACGGTTCATTTGACGAACCGACGGACTATTGTAAGGGTTAAAAGATTCTGCTGGGCAGAGCGGTTGTAGGGCGGCACAAAAGAAAATGCAATGCAAGGCTGTGTGTAAAAAGGTGCGATGGATATGGAAAATAGAACGCAAAGCAATG